TGTGCTTGTTGATGAGACCAAAGATGGTGTTAACAAAAAAATAGAATCGTGGAGAAGCATGTTGGAGTCTAAAGGATTTAGACTAAGTAGGAGTAAGACTCAGTATATGAAATGTGAGTTTGCTACGACAAGAGATAAAGATCAAGATTCTATGTATTTTGAAGAAAAGAAGAAGTGGAAGAAGTGTTTTATCTGAATAATACTTTCTTGATTCATTGAGAGACCCAATGGGTCCTTTTTATATTGAGTACATCCAACTACCTCAACTACTTTAATAAATATACAACCACAAACTACATCAATAAATATACAACTACCAACTAAATATACAACTACCAACTACATCAATAAATACTATCTAGAATATTCTATATATTCTACACTCCCCCTCAAGTTGGGAGATATATATTGATCATTCCCAACTTGCTGATCAAATTCTCAAAGGTCGGCTTAAGTAATCCTTTGGTGAGGATATCCGCCGTCTATTCCTTGGTAGGTATATATGTCAAGCATACACTACCGTCTTCTAATTTCTCTTTGATAAAGTGACGATCAACTTCCACATGTTTTGTTCTGTCATGATGAACAGGATTTTGAGCAATGCTGACAGCAGCCTTATTATCACAATATAATCTGATAGGTAGGGAATAAGAGATCTTCAGCTCCTCCAGAAGCCTTCGTAACCAAATTCCTTCACAAATACCATGGGCTAGAGCCCGAAATTCCGCTTCTGCACTGCTTCTTGCAACAACAGTTTGTTTCTTACTTCTCCAGGTCACAAGGTTTCCCCAGACATAAGTACAATATCCTGAAGTAGATCTTCGGTCCATTGCAGAGCCAGCCCAGTCTGCATCTGTATAGATTTCAATCATCCTTTTGTGCCCCTTTTTAAAGAAAATTCCTCGACCAGGGGTATTTTTGAGGTATTTGAGAATTCTATAAACAGCACTAAGGTGTTTTTCCTTAGAAGAATGCATGAATTGGCTAACCATGCTCACAGCAAAAGCAATATCAGGACGAGTGTGAGACAAATAGATTAATTTTCCCACTAGTCTCTGGTACTGCTCCCTATCAACATCTTCCCCGTCCTCAACTCCCATCTTGATATTAGCTTCAATTGGAGTCTCTGCCGGCTTGCACCCAAGCATACCTGTTTCTTGCAACAGGTCTAGAATGTATTTTTTCTGAGTTAAAGAAATTCCTTCCTTACTCCGAGCAATTTCCATGCCAAGGAAATATTTGAGAGATCCAAGATCTTTTAGTTCAAACTGGTCAGCTAAACATTTTTTTAAAGAGGTTATCTCCTCGCTATCATTACCAGTGACAATTATGTCATCAACATAAACGATCAGAATAGCAATTCTTCCTTTGTCGGAGTGTTTAAAAAATAAAGTGTGATCAGTCTGAGCTTGGGTGAACCCTCTTCCCTTAACAACTTGAGTAAATTTCCCAAACCATTCTCTGGGAGATTGTTTAAGTCCATAGAGAGACTTCTGCAACTTGCACACAGAACCATCCCCTTTTTCAAAACCAGGAGGTGGATCCATGTAAACTTCCTCATGGAGATCACCATTCAAGAAGGCATTCTTAACATCTAACTGTTGCAATGGCCAATCAAGGTTGGCGGCAAGAGATAGCAGAACGCGGATAGTGTTAAGTTTGGCAACAGGAGCAAATGTCTCCTGATAATCTATCCCATGAGTCTGAGTAAATCCCTTAGCAACTAATCTGGCCTTATACCTATTGATGCTATTGTCTGCATTGAATTTTATTGTGAACACCCACTTGCAACCAACAGTTTTCTTTCCTTTAGGTAATGTCACAAACTCCCATGTTCCATTTTTTGTAAGTGCATCCATTTCTTCTAATACTGCATTCCTCCATTTTGGGTCATCAAGTGCTTCTTGGATATTTTTGGGTATCCTGGTACTATCTAACATAGTGTTGAAAGCACGAAAACCTGGAGACAACTTTTCATATGAGATATAATGGGAAATAGGATGAGCAGTGCAAGATCTAGTACCTTTCCGAAGAGCAATAGGCATATCAACGTTGGTTGTACTAGTACATTCAAGTGGGTTGCTGGAACAAGGACTCGAGTCAGGATCCTGGCAGTCTAGAGTATCTTCATGTGTTTTGCGCCTGCTGTAAAATTTTCCCCATTTACCAGGAGGATCACAAGGAGGATCATTAGATTCAGGTATAGTTGCTCCCCCTGTTTCCTTCCCAATAACTCCACCTGTTTCCAAAGGCAAAGGTAAGACAGCAACATCATTTGGTTTCCCAGGCTTATCTTCATCCATACCAATACCAATAGACTCCCCCTGAAGAGAAGTCGGGGAAAAAAAGGATTGTGTCTCATAAAAGGTAACATCCATGGAAACAAAAACCTTACGGAGAGAAGGTGAGTAACACTTATAACCTTTTTGATTAGGGGAATATCCTATGAAGACACATCTGATGGATTTAGGGTCAAGTTTGGACCTTTGATGTGGAGGAATATGCACAAAAACCACACAGCCAAATATTTTGGGAGGAAGAGAAGAAAGAGCACTGAAAGAGGGAAAAGATTTAGTAAGACAGGATAAAGGAGAATGAAAATTTAGTACCCGAGAAGGCATCCGATTAATGAGATAACAGGCTGTCAAGACGGCTCCCCCCCACAGATATTTAGGGACATGCATCGTGAATAAAAGAGCTCGAGCAACTTCAATTAGATGTCTATTTTTCCTTTCAGCCACCCCATTTTGTTGAGGGGTGTTAGGACAAGAACTTTGATGAATAATTCCATGCTGGTTTAGGTAATCTCCAAGAACTGAATTAAAATATTCAGTACCATTGTCTGTTCGCAGAATTTTGATAGAAGTCTGAAATTGAGTTTGAATCATAGCATGAAAGTTTTTAAAAGTGGATGCTGCCTCAGACTTATCTTTTAAGAGATATACCCAACATACCCTAGAATGATCATCAATGAAAGTAATAAACCAACGAGCACCCGAGACATTTTTTTCACGAGCAGGTCCCCAAATATCACTATGAATCAATGTAAAGGGAGAAGATTCATGATATTTCTTAGGAGAATAAGTGACACGAGAGTGCTTTGCAAGCTGACAAATATCACAAAGAAGGGAACTTGGCTTTTTATTGATAAATAAGTTCGGCAATAACTTCTGGAGATAAACAAAATTTGGGTGTCCCAACCTACGATGCCATAACAAAACATCATTACAGTCATCTGATAAACATAGAGAGTGGTTCGAAAAAATCCTCTTTTCACAATGAACATCTGTAAAATAGTATAGCCCTTCTTCCTCTCTAGCACTGCCAATCATCATCCCCGAGTCCTGTTCTTGAAAGATACAAGCATTTGCAGAGAACTTAGCAACACAATGCAACTCAGCAGTAAGTTTGCTAATAGAGATGAGATTACAAGTAAGAGAGGGAACATGAAGTACTGAGTTCAAAATAATATGCTCAGAAAGTTTAATGGATCCCTTTCCCGCAATAGTGGAGAAATTCCCATCAGCTGTTCTTATTCGTGACGGGTGATAGTAAGGGGTATAGGAGAAAAATAAGGTTGCATTACCTGTCATGTGATCAGAGGCCCCTGAATCAAGGATCCAACGATTACTACGTTCAACATGGAATGCCATACCTTTTTGAGCAACATGACTAGTTGCCTCAGCAGGTTGAGACATCAATTTCTGAAAAGACGAATTTTCAAAATTTTCAACGTCCATGGTTTTCTAACAACAGGTACCCAGAAAAAAGTTCCTCCAAATACGATTTTGACCCTCAAAACAGGAAGAGGGTTGCTCGCAAAAATCAATGAATGAGAGCAATCTTGGCTACAGTGAAACAGTAATTGCTACAGTAATGAACAGTACTGCTACAGTAATGAACAGTACTGCTACGGGTCTTCTGTGGGCTGGCTCAGAATCTTGTTCTGAACCTAATGGTGGCCTTGGTTTCGTGGTTGGAGGTGTCTAGGTAAGGATTCTGGCTTGGGCAGTGGCTAAAACGAAAAAAAAAAGGAATAGGAAAATGACTTAAAATTAAATCAGAACGGGGAAGAGACTGGAATATAACCAGCTCTTGATACCATGAAGAAAAGAAGAAGTGGAAGAAGTGTTTTATCTGAATAATACTTTCTTGATTCATTGAGAGACCCAATGGGTCCTTTTTATATTGAGTACATCCAACTACCTCAACTACTTTAATAAATATACAACCACCAACTACATCAATAAATATACAACTACCAACTAAATATACAACTACCAACTACATCAATAAATACTATCTAGAATATTCTACATATTCTACAGTAACATGCATAAAAGAAGAAATAATTAAAACAATGTACACATAAACCTGAAAAAGCAATGGATAGACTAGATATGTTTCATGTATCAACATGTGTACAGTGTAAAAGAACTGCAAAATGTAACATCAACGTGTAAAACAAAGAATTCAACACAAAGCTTTATAAAATTAACATGTAAAATAATGGGTTGTTCAATCGTCAACGTATTACAATAATATTATTTAAATGGTAGTAATTATTTTATTATAACATTTTATACGAGTACAGGATAAACACATTATAAAAATATTATTGAAACACACAAGCCATATTATTCAAATACAGAGCAGGCAACGACTGAGCTAACCCGAGCGGAGATCAATCAGAAAACCTAAAAAAGAAGGAGAAGAAGAGAATGAACAAAACCTTGAAGCAGCGGTGGAAGTAAACAGAGTCTTAATTTAAGAGTTCCTGAAACGGAGTGCAAAAACAACATATGGAGTGTTCTAAAATCTGGTTAAAGGTCCAGATTGCCAGATTAGGCTGGGTTTGCTCATGGTTGAATGGATTTTCATGATCCGTTGGATCGGTTAGATCCTGCGATTTCACCAGCAAAGACTACAATCCCAACAATCCACCTATTTTGCGATTTTTATTGTGAATGTGATCGTAGGGGTATCAAAAGATCATATACTCATGCGATCGCTATTTTGTCAGCATTGATCAAATCTATCCAATATGCAAGCAATGTGAAAGTTCCCTGTGTAAACTCAGAGCCATTGATGCGACTTGCGAGCACAAGAGCAAGTCCTTGTATTTCTACAACTTCCTTTGCACCAGCATCCATGGGCACTACATGGAACTTTCACATTGTTTGCAAATGAATAGATTTGATATATGTAAAGCCAGCAGGTCAACAAGAGGATCATCATATTCATTGGTAAAGAGAATGCCTATGGCTTCTGGACCATTGCTAGTATCCTTGTCTACAAACACTTCTGTTGAAAAAGGGATGATGAGACAAAGGAAAATTGGCTTGATGTGTTATGATGTGATACAAAAGACAAAGAAACAAATCCGTATTTATACGAATAGTAGGCTCCAAAAATAAGTAAACTGTAGAATATGTAGAATATTCTAGATAGTATTTATTGATGTAGTTGGTAGTTGTATATTTAGATGGTAGTTGTATATTTATTGATGTAGTTTGTGGTTGTATATTTATTAAAGTAGTTGAGGTAGTTGGATGTACTCAATATAAAAAGGACCCATTGGGTCTCTCAATGAATCAAGAAAGTATTATTCAGATAAAACGCTTCTTCCACTTCTTCTTTTCTTCATGGTATCAAGAGCTGGTTATATTCCAGTCTCTTCCCCGTTCTGATTTATTTTTAAGTCATTTTCCTATTCCTTTTTTTTTTTTTCGTTTTAGCCACTGCCCAAGCCAGAATCCTTACCTAGACACCTCCAACCACGAAACCAAGGCCACCATTAGTTTCAGAACAAGATTCTGAGCCAGCCCACAGAAGACCCGTAGCAGTACTGTTCATTACTGTAGCAGTACTGTTCATTACTGTAGCAATTACTGTTTCACTGTAGCCAAGATTGCTCTCATTCATTGATTTTTGCGAGCAACCCTCTTCCTGTTTTGAGGATCAAAATCGTATTTGGAGGAACTTTTTTCTAGGTACCTGTTGTTAGAAAACCATAGACGTTGAAAATTTTGAAAATTCGTCTTTTCAGAAATTGATGTCTCAATCTGCTGAGGCAACTAGTCATGTTGCTCAAAAAGGTATGGCATTCCATGTTGAACGTAGTAATCGTTGGATCCTTGATTCAGGGGCCTCTGATCACATGACAGGTAATGCAACCTTATTTTTCTCCTATACCCCTTACTATCACCCGTCACGAATAAGAACAGCTGATGGGAATTTCTCCACTATTGCGGGAAAGGGATCCATTAAACTTTCTGAGCATATTATTTTGAACTCAGTACTTCATGTTCCCTCTCTTACTTGTAATCTCATCTCTATTAGCAAACTTACTGCTGAGTTGCATTGTGTTGCTAAGTTCTCTGCAAATGCTTGTATCTTTCAAGAACAGGACTCGGGGATGATGATTGGCAGTGCTAGAGAGGAAGAAGGGCTATACTATTTTACAGATGTTCATTGTGAAAAGAGGATTTTTTCGAACCACTCTCTATGTTTATCAGATGACTGTAATGATGTTTTGTTATGGCATCGTAGGTTGGGACACCCAAATTTTGTTTATCTCCAGAAGTTATTGCCGAACTTATTTATCAATAAAAAGCCGAGTTCCCTTCTTTGTGATATTTGTCAGCTTGCAAAGCACTCTCGTGTCACTTATTCTCCTAAGAAATATCATGAATCTTCTCCCTTTACATTGATTCATAGTGATATTTGGGGACCTGCTCGTGAAAAAAATGTCTCAGGTGCTCGTTGGTTTATTACTTTCATTGATGATCATTCTAGGGTATGTTGGGTATATCTCTTAAAAGATAAGTCTAAGGCAGCATCCACTTTTAAAAACTTTCATGCTATGATTCAAACTCAATTTCAGACTTCTATCAAAATTCTGCGAACAGACAATGGTACTGAATATTTTAATTCAGTTCTTGGAGATTACCTAAACCAGCATGGAATTATTCATCAAAGTTCTTGTCGTAACACCCCTCAACAAAATGGGGTGGCTGAAAGGAAAAATAGACATCTAATTGAAGTTGCTCGAGCTCCTTTATTCACGATGCATGTCCCTAAATATCTGTGGGGGGAAGCCGTCTTGACAGCCTGTTATCTCATTAATCGGATGCCTTCTCGGGTACTAAATTTTCATTCTCCTTTATCCTGTCTTACTAAATCTTTTCCCTCTTTCAGTGCTCTTTCTTCTCTTCCTCCCAAAATATTTGGCTGTGTGGTTTTTGTGCATATTCCTCCACATCAAAGGTCCAAACTTGACCCTAAATCCATCAGATGTGTCTTCATAGGATATTCCCCTAATCAAAAAGGTTATAAGTGTTACTCACCTTCTCTCCGTAAGGTTTTTGTTTCCATGGATGTTACTTTTTATTAGACACAATCCTTTTTTTCCCCGACTTCTCTTCAGGGGGAGTCTATTGGTATTGGTATGGATGAAGATAAGCTTGGGAAACCAAATGATGTTGCTGTCTTACCTTTGCCTTTGGAAACAGGTGGAGTTATTGGGAAGGAAACAAGGGGAGCAACTATACCTGAATCTAATGATCCTCCTTGTGATCCTCCTGGTAAATGGGGAAAATTTTACAGCAGGCGCAAAACACATGAAGATACTCTAGACTGCCAGGATCCTGACTCGAGTCCTTGTTCCAGCAACCCACTTGAATGTACTAGTACAACCAACGTTGATATGCCTATTGCTCTTCGGAAAGGTACTAGATCTTGCACTGCTCATCCTATTTCCCATTATATCTCATATGAAAAGTTGTCTCCAGGTTTTTGTGCTTTCAACACTATGTTAGATAGTACCAGGATACCCAAAAATATCCAAGAAGCACTTGATGACCCAAAATGGAGGAATGCAGTATTAGAAGAAATGGATGCACTTACAAAAAATGGAACATGGGAGTTTGTGACATTACCTAAAGGAAAGAAAACTGTTGGTTGCAAGTGGGTGTTCACAATAAAATTCAATGCAGACAATAGCATCAATAGGTATAAGGCCAGATTAGTTGCTAAGGGATTTACTCAGACTCATGGGATAGATTATCAGGAGACATTTGCTCCTGTTGCCAAACTTAACATTATCCGCGTTCTGCTATCTCTTGCCGCCAACCTTGATTGGCCATTGCAACAGTTAGATGTTAAGAATGCCTTCTTGAATGGTGATCTCCATGAGGAAGTTTACATGGATCCACCTCCTGGTTTTGAAAAAGGGGATGGTTCTGTGTGCAAGTTGCAGAAGTCTCTCTATGGACTTAAAAATCTCCCAGAGAATGGTTTGGGAAATTTACTCAAGCTGTTAAGGGAAGAGGGTTTACCCAAGCTCAGACTGATCACACTTTATTTTTTAAACACTCCGACAAAGGAAGAATTGCTATTCTGATCATTTATGTTGATGACATAATTGTCACTGGTAATGATAGCGAGGAGATAACCTCTTTAAAAAAATGTTTAGCTGACCAGTTTGAACTAAAAGATCTTGGATCTCTCAAATATTTCCTTGGCATGGAAATTGCTCGGAGTAAGGAAGGAATTTCTTTAACTCAGAAAAAATACATTCTAGACCTGTTGCAAGAAACAGGTATGCTTGGGTGCAAGCCGGCAGAGACTCCAATTGAACCTAATATCAAGATGGGAGTTGAGGACGGGGAAGATGTTGATAGGGAGCAGTACCAGAGACTAGTGGGAAAATTAATCTATTTGTCTCACACTCGTCCTGATATTGCTTTTGTTGTGAGCATGGTTAGCCAATTCATGCATTCTCCTAAGGAAAAACACCTTAGTGTTGTTTATAGAATTCTCAAATACCTCAAAAATACCCCTGGTCGAGGAATTTTCTTTAAAAAAGGGGCACAAAAGGATGATTGAAATCTATACAGATGCAGACTGGGCTGGCTCTGCAATGGACCGAAGATCTACTTCAGGATATTGTACTTATGTCTGGGGAAACCTTGTGACCTGGAGAAGTAAGAAACAAACTGTTGTTGCAAGAAGCAGTGCAGAAGCGGAATTTCGGGCTCTAGCCCATGGTATTTGTGAAGGAATTTGGTTACGAAGGCTTCTGGAGGAGCTGAAGATCTCGTATTCCCTACCTATCAGATTATATTGTGATAATAAGGCTGCTGTCAGCATTGCTCAAAATCTTGTTCATCATGACAGAACAAAACATGTGGAAGTTGATCGTCACTTTATCAAAGAGAAATTAGAAGACGGTAGTGTATGCTTGACATATATACCTACCAAGGAACAGACGGCGGATATCCTCACCAAAGGATTACTTAAGCCGACCTTTGAGAATTTGATCAGCAAGTTGGGAATGATCAATATATATCTCCCAACTTGAGGGGGAGTGTAGAATATGTAGAATATTCTAGATAGTATTTATTGATGTAGTTGGTAGTTGTATATTTAGTTGGTAGTTGTATATTTATTGATATAGTTTGTGGTTGTATGTTTATTAAAGTAGTTGAGGTAGTTGGATGTACTCAATATAAAAAGGACCCATTGGGTCTCTCAATGAATCAACAAAGTATTATTCAGATAAAACACTTCTTCCACTTCTTCTTTTCTTCATAAACAGATCACGAGATATAAGGAAATATGAAAACCAAATCCTAACAGATCATTGAAATATAAAATATGGAAACAAATCACGAAATATAAGGTAATATGAAATATCCTAAACTATTTAAGATATAATCATAAAATTATAAGATATTTTCTAGTTTTTCTAACATAGCTATACAAAACCGTACAATTAATTAAATAAATTGAGAAATATTGTAGAGTAATTACAGGAGAGATTTTTGCAGCTGATCGGAGCTGATTCTGTTGACACTTTTGTTAAGATCTTTCAAAAAAAATTTAAAGTTTCAAATATAAATTTCCAGGACTTCAATAGGTGCATAATAAAACAGGACGATATACAAGAAATATTCAAAAAATGTCTAACAAATGACAACGAAGGTTAAAAAAATAAATAAGACCGAAAAGCAATATAAGGAAACAAATCATGAATTATAAGAAAATATGAAAACCAAATCCTAAGATATCATTGACATATAACATATGGAAATAAATCTTGAAATATAAGGAAATTTGGAATATCCTAAACTATTATAAGATAATTTTTAGATTTTCTAACATATCGATACAAAATTGTACAACTAATGAAATAGGGATAAGTTATTCTACCTACTTTTTTCTGCCTCTTTTTGTCTACCACTCTAAAAGACCATTAAATCAGAATCTTAATTAACATTTATCTTTCTCTCTCCTCTTTAGATTCTGATCTAATGGTATTGAAGAATGGTAGGCAAAGGTAGGCAGAAAAAATGGTAGGTAGAATAACTTATCCCAATGAAATGGGATAGGTTATTCTACTTACCTTTTTTCTGCCTATCTTTGCCTACCACTCTAAAAGACCATTAGATCAAAATCTTAATTGACATTTATCTTTCTCTCTCCTCTTTAGATTCTGATCTAATGGTATTGAAGAATGGAAGCCAAAAGTAGGCAGAAAAAATGGTAGGTAGAATAACCTATCCCAATGAAATAAATCAGGAAAAAATTGTAAAGTAATTAAAGGATAGATTTTAGTAGCTGATCGAAGCTGATTCTATTGACACTTTTGTTAAAATCTTGGGATAGGTTATTCTGCCTACTTTTAATTTGCCTACCTTTGCCTACCCTTCTCAACACTGTTAGATTAATCTCATCCAACGATGAAGATTTGCGAGATAAAATAAATTCTTTTACCCTTTTTTTCTCTCCTCATCATTGCCTCCTTCTCTTTCTCTCTATCGATGAAGACAGAGGCAGAGAAGCACATGCAATAGAAATCTCTTATGAGTTTGAATTGGTTTTTTGTTCACATCTATTTGTTATGACTCTGGTAAAAGAGTTCTGTTGAACGTGGTTGATGCCCAAGATGTCAATAATATGACAGTTATTCGAATATCAAATCCCTAACTTTCTCTCTCTTAAATGGCGCTTCAGCAACTAACTGAGTACGAACGCAATCGACTCGACAAGATTGCATGAGGATGAAATCAACGAATTAATCGAAGATCCATAATTAAATAATAATGTGAATTCGACATATGTGATTAATTAGCAAACTCTGACAAAATTTGGAATAGTATCAATTACGATGGGTCAAGGAATCGTTGGCGAAAGAGAAACACCTTTTAAATTTTGAATTTTGACTCTGTCCTTTATAAAATTCCAAAATTGATGGTAGGCTTGACGAAAATGACGGTCGTTCAAGGGGGTGGGAGGAGAGAGAAAGGGTGGAAGGCAATGAGGAGAAAGAAAGGGGTAAAAGGATTTATTTTATCCCGCAAATCTCCGTTGGATGAGATTATAATCTAACGGTATTGAGAGGGGTAGACAAAGGTAGGCAAATTAAGAGTAAGCAGAATAACATATCTTTAAAATCTTTCAACAAAATTTTTTAAAGTTCCAAATATAAATTTCCAGCACTTCAATGGGTGCATAATAAATCAGGATGACATCAACATCAACAACACCTTTATCCCAAACTAATTGGGGTCGGTGATAGATGAACCCAAATGAAAGATACGAAGAGATTGAAAAAAGATAAAAATGAAATTTAAGAGAGTATATATATATATATATATAGGGTTCGTTTTTTCTACAGTGAATGGAGATAAGTTATCTGCATTGAGCCCAAAACGATGTCGTTTTAGGACAAAAATCATGGTGTTTTTGTAATTTTAATTTATTTCAGGGTTATAATAGTCTTTATTATTTAATTTTTAATCATTCACTCTCCAAACGACGTCGTTTTAGGAGTGAATGAAGATAACTTATCTGCATTCACCGTAAAAATATTAAAGCCATATATATATATATGGGTTTAAAGTTTCTAAAGTTACTTTAGATAACTTTATCTAATGTTCACCAAAATACACACACAAATGTGTGGGGCCCATGTTCTCTTTTTCTATCTCTTCTCTTCATATGGGTCCACATGGACCCCCCACACTTTTGTGTGTATTTTGGTAAGCATTAGATAAAGTTATCTAAAGTAACTTTAAAAACTTTAAACTCTCTCTCTAATGGTGAAATTGATTGGTAGTAACTCTAATTAGTTGTTACAATATCCTATCCCATATATATATATATATATATATATATATATATATATTGGGAGAAACATTTCTCTAGTCACTTGAGATAAGTTTATCTCTAGCCACCCTCTTATAACTATGTACTCCGGGGAGTGCATAGTTATAATATTAAAGTTGTTTTTTTTTCTCTCTCCACGTCAACCGGCAAGTTTATGGAGAAAGAAAATTAATCAACTTTAATATTATAACTATGTACTACCCAGAGTACATAGTTATAAAGGGTGGCTGGAGATAAGTTTATCTCAAGTGGCTGAAGAAATGTTATTCCCATGTATATTTATCAGAAAAATATTTCTGCAGTTAATGCAGATAAGTTATCTGCATTTACTTCCAAAACAACGTCGTTTTGGGATTGAAAGATTAGAAAATTATAATTATAAAGACTATCATAACCCTGAAATAAATTAAAATTACAAAAACACCATGATTTCCGCCCCAAAACGACGTCATATTGGGTTTACTGCAGAAAAAGTGATTCCTAATTTATATATAAAAAGAAGGAAACGATTAAAAGGGAAAGTATATTAAGGTAAACTAAAGATAGAGATATATAAGAAGGCAAAAAAGAGTAAGAAAGTAAGAAAATAAAAAAATAATAATAAAAAGAGATAAAATAGAAATAAAATTAAAAAAATAAAAATAATATATATATATATTTATATAAGTAGAAATAAAAGGGGTATAGGAAAAAAAAATAAGTAAGAGAAATAAGATAGGGGAGGGAAAAGAGATAAAAGAAAGGTAAAAGAAGGACGGGGGGAGATGAAGAGGAAAATGACTAAAAAGGAACCATCTGGAACATAGGAATAACAACGGGTCTAACCCTCCACCATGCTTATAGCCTTTCTCCATTTCGTCCTAAGACACACCGTCCACCAATCTATATCTCATTCCATTAAGTCTTGTTTTATTATCTTTCCCCGAGTAAGTTTCGGTTTAACTCTACCTCTCTTTATGTTGAGCTCTTGGTAACAAACTTTTGTTCTTAATGGAACATTTAGGTGTCTTCTCATTACGTGCTCAAACTACCTCAATCTATGTTCCCTCATCTTTTCAGCCACTGATACTACTCCTACCTTTCTCAAATATCTTCATTTCTTATCTTATCCATCCTCGTATAACCACACACCCACCTTAACATCCTCATTTTTGCTACTCGCATTTTATGCTCATGTTGTCTATGTGCTGGCCAACATTCAGCTCCATATAACACTGCAGGCCTTACTGTTTTCTATAGAATTTTTCTTTTAGCTTAAGAGAAATTTTACGGTCACACAAAAATTCAGATGCACTACGTCATTTCGTCCACCCTGCTCTGATTCTATATCTCTCTACCTTTTTGCATATACTCAATCTTGCTCCGGCTTAAAGTGAATCCTTTAGACTCCAACGTGTCCAAGTAGATGCACGAGATCTTGATTTCCATCTCTTACCAAAGAAAACTCACACTTCATATACTCACAATTTAGGATGACATACAAAAAGAAATATTTAAAAAATGTATAACAAATAAAAGAATGTATAAACAAGCTTACAGCTTTTTCAACGCTTGAAAAATGTTGCATCCTACTTGATAGGATTTTTTGCATATGAATAAGTGAAGCCATTGCTGTTCCCTGAAATTCTTGTGACAATGGACATTTCAGTGCCAATGATGAGTAAGTAGTCATGGGAAGCAATAAGGAAGTTAACTATAGAAACCAACCTCTACAACATCCACAACAACTAACCCAGCCAAAGTAGACAATGATCTCCGAGCAGCAACATGCACAGCAATCGACCCTCCCATGCTATGATGATGAAACAAATGTTTAACAGTGATAGTTAATATTATAAAAATAAACCACTTCCCATTAAACCTTGACTAGAGAGCAACTGAAACTGTCTCCCAGATTCGAACCTTAGTCACGAGGAGCAGCTTTACCGCTGCTCCAGGCTCGCCCTCTATATTTTACTTTGACATATAGTTAATGTTAGGGAAATGTTTCTGTCATGTTACATGAAAAACCTTATCTCATGTTACACACCCATCAAAATCCGAGCCATCATTTCTTTTTCTTTTTAGTTGTGGAACCCACCTAATTATGTCTCTACATAAGACAATGTTATCTCATGTAACATGAGAAAAACATTGCCCTTAATATTATATATCAAAGTAAAATATCATTCATATAAGAAAAAGAGAAACTATAGTCAAGTTAGGCTCACCGAATATTTCCATGGGAATAAAATTCATTGAAGAAAGAAAATAAAAGTGAAAAATAGAGGACAAGTGGTGCAAACACAATGACAAAATAAAAGAGACCACAAATATCTGCAAGAGCAAATGCAAATGTGAAATCAAAGCAGCCGTGCCTTACAGTTATACAACATATCCTTGAGTTGAAACCAAGTTCACCAATCACATACAATGAAATGCTTATAGAACCGAGCCCACACAATGATTGAATGATTATAAATCTAGTCAGATGGAGTGAAGCTGTGGTGAATGGTGATGAGGCACGTAAAAAATATTGCAAAAAAAATGTTTTGGCCTTTGACTAATGGCTTCTTCATATCAAACAAAGAATAAAAGATTCTTCTTTAGTCAAGGCAAACTTAGTCCCTTCTGTTGATTACTCGTCCATCCCCAAAATCATTGAATACCCTGAACCAAAATCATTGAACTTCACACAGAAAACAACAATTGTCAAAATATAAAAAACTAAACAACATGCAACCCGGCATTGATGACACATGCCATCAAACACGACTCTACACAACATAAAAGACCCTGAACTTTCTCCCCCTTAATTAAAAGGAGAAAAAAGAGTTACCAAGAGTTATATCATATCATCTTCTAATGAAGGCAGTATTACCAGAATTAAACCAAAGTTAACTTGTGGAGATATATTTAGATATATTTTTCTGCACATTTAATCTGGAAAATGATCCAACATTCTAAGGTTACTTCCAGAGACCAACATGCTTAAACAAAGATAAAAGCCAGTTAATAAAATGGAACCTTAGTAATTGATTCCTATGAAAGTTGTCTTCATATACGAAAACCCCAGAAGGCTATTAAATAAGAGAAATCCAAGCAACTGATAAAAGAAAGAGAATTACCTGTGACCAACAAGAATAATTGCTGGAGGAGAATCTCCATATAATTCCTTTATAACAGCCAATACATCATTGCACATGGTCTGCAAAAAGATGATCATCTCTATGAGCACGTGAGCAGTATAGCAAAAACCAGCAAGCCAAACATAGTACACATCTTCACCAACAACGATGTTCGGTAAAATTTATTTATTACTTTGTACCTCAACAGATAAGTCAAGATCATTATCTGTTAATGATTTCCCATGACCTCTCAAGTCCATCGCAACCACCCTAGCTTTCTCCTTAATTTTACTCGCCGACAAAGCAAATGAAAGCCTGTAATGAAATAATGTGAAGCCTTTCATCAGACTACAAACTTTGCAATAATTATTGAAGCTATACTTAATTGTGAATATATATATATATATATATATATATATATATATATATATATATATATAGATATCGTGTATGCTTGCTTAAGGTGAAACATGCAAGTTCAAAGTGTAACAACAGTGTGCATATCTTCAGACAAAACGTTAATAAATGAAGTGCTTCTCAATTCATATGTCCTGATATCTAGAAATTTTAGTCATAAAAGAAGAAAAATTTCTTCCTGTAGACCCGAATACTAATTTATGTGCACAAACTTACATATACTATTTATAAAAAGAAAAAAAAAAGATGATAGAGACTTCAATTTTAGCAATCAAATTCTTGGGTCAGTTACTCTACTTTTCAGATTAAGCATAAAGTTTAAATGGTTGCTAGAATCTTATTTAGAGGTTTTAATTGACTCTATCCCCCCTGAGATAAATAGTTTCAGAAATAATCCCTCACTTCTTTAGCAAAGGCTTGAAGTTATGGCAGAGCTATGACTGGTAAAATAGATATAAAGCTCCAAAGCAATCATCAAAATGCAAAGTCCACCTTCCACGGTTGGCTAAAAAAATGCACAAAGTATATCTAGCAGAAGAAGTTCAATAATACCAAATTGTGTATTCTTTCTAATGTGTGACCCGCTCCACATTTAACACACATCAGTCACTTCCCTAATTGAATGGGTAGCAAAACTAGGGAAAAAGAACAGTGAAGACAGCTCATCAACATAAAGCCTTTCCCTATGTACTGCCAGAGCCCCAAAAGCTACGCAAAAGAAACTTCTTCAAAAGGAAGTGACTGTTGGTCGGTGCAAAAATTAAATGGGCGAATGTTTCTGAACTAAACACACTTGGTAATCGTATCAGAAGAAATTCTTGACATTCATATGTTCTCCACAATATTTGTTGCAAAAACATTATTCCTATCATTTTATTCTCTAATTTAAGTGGCAAGCCTCCTCATAATACTTTCTAAATCTATAGATCAAAGGCCTCACTTTTCTCTATCATACTGAACTATTCTCAAGCCATTCTTAATTGTTACCTTTCACATTTTTATGCATGTATACTAAATATTAACAATAGGCAAGCACTGATTAGGCAGTGTCTCCTCCATTGCTCAGCAAAGCCAAAGACACCACCAGCGCCTGCATCACAAACAAGCGCATGTTGTTACTCATGCTCATCAGTGCAGCACTACGCACTAAATTATAGGACATGAATATATAACGCAGCCCATTGAATGAGACCTCGACAATGTATTCTCAGAACAATCTATCTTCGAGATCAAGAAATTTGAAGTGAAATCACTATTCAAAATAAAGGTGATTAACTAAAAATTTAACACACCTCACTGGCAATGGTTTCAAATTGGTATTATATTCTGAGATAAGTGACATCAGTTCAATTCCCATAATACTTCATGGAGGATGAATTATAAAATTAAAAAATAAATAAATAAGAGATACGCTAGAAATCAGTAATAATCATACCCAGAATAACCACCACCGTGTAAACAGAATACAACGGGGCCCTCTGTTCCTGCCATATAAACATGAAAGACCTGAGCAGTTGGAAGAAAAAAAAAATTGTTAGAAGAATATTCATCTAGACGGGTGAAAAAACAGACACAAAGAAACCAGGATTTTGATTTTGCAGACTAACATCATTCGATTCCGGAATTGCAACATCGTCTTCTTTGTCAAAATACACGTGCCAATCTACAGGTGAGTATTTTTCTGAAGAACTCCTAGAATAATTAACAGTTTAAATGAAATGAGAAGAGAAAAAGGTGCATGGATTCATCCGCAAAAGCGATCATAAACGCAATCACGCACATGCAGATACACGAGACGATTCCGACAGCTTGTGAAAACTGAAAAAAGTCATGACGAACGCGAATAGAAGAAGATCGCAGAAGCTTACTTAGTTGGAGGGCGATGAGGAACGGAAGCGAAGGCAGAGACGGGTTGAGTTTGATATTGTGGATGCTCATCGGTGACATCTTCAGGAAGCGAAGCCATATGAGAAGAAGAAGAAGAATCCATAACTCTCTTTCTCTTTCTTTGATTCTCTTACTCTTACTTTCAATTTCGATAGTCGAATCTCGAAATCGAAACTCTTTGCACAATGTGAACAAGAAACTGGACCAGCAAATGCTTCTAGTTTCACTTTGTTTTACAGACAGCAACGCACCTTGTTTAATAGAAAAAATAAATAAAACATAAATAATTTTAAATTAATGTAAGAGAGTGAACTGATGTAAAATCTAATTTTAAATTTTGAGTAAAAAATCAATAATTATAATATATTTTAAATATCAAGCCTAATATATATGTGAAATTGTTTTGAAAAAGATTAATGACATGGAAAAATCAACAGTCAAACAAATTTTGCTTTATTTTTTATTAAAATGAGTTAATATTAATATTTTTAGGCTTTAATGTTTTTAAGGTGAATGTAGATAAGTATCTACATTCGCTTCTAAAATGAAATTGTTTTGAGTTTCAAAATTAAAAAATTATAATAAAAAATTTATTATAACCCTAAAATAAATTATAATTACAAAAATATTTTGATTACCGTTTCAAAAACGACGTTGTTTTGAGCTCAAGGTAAATAAGTTATCTACGTGACTGTAAAAAAAAAACCCTTATTTTTATCACGTTGACTTGAAAAAATATGTGAGAAATATATATGACATGGAAAAAACAAAATGTCGAACAATTTTTCTTGAATTTTTATCAGAATAAATTGACATTATTACTTTTATCACTTTGACTTATCTAAAAAAAACTCTTAAAATTTTTTAAAAAAATTGTTAAATGTTATCAAAATTTTCCAATCATAAACATTACTCGAATAATATCGTTAATTATTAACCGTTACTAAAAAATATTTTGAAAAATTAATTAATACTTTTTTTTGTAAATAATTAATAAAATTTTATATCATGAAATAACATTGACTATCCAATATATAAAATTTCTTAGTATATAATTAATATGCATAATACATTAATATTCAATTAATTTTAGGGAAAAATGTGTATAATTTTAAAGAATATAAAATTGTGTCATTTTAAGTTAGAGAAAGAGATAAATAAAGAAGAGTGGAGAGTGAACAAAAAAATATAAAGGTGTGGATCCCACCTCTTGGTGATAGTAAAATGACATAAATTATGTCGACAAACATTTTTCCTTTAATTTTAATATACAAATCTAAAATAATTTATTCTGACACATGCATTGTAATCCTAGTACTCTTTAAATTATAATTTATTTAGTATTTACATTTTTATTCTAATTATCCACAAGGTAATAAGTAAATTACACTTTAAAACTAAGATGAAACTCCGAAACACTTTATTTATAAAAAAATATATATTATTTCACGTTCAAATTAATTAGTTTAATGGAATGAGATGATGAGGAAATGAATTCTCACAAATCACAAACTTTATATAACATGTTCTCATTAAAAAAAAAAGAATAAATGTTAATTTATCTACAAAATGATGAGATTGTTCGATAATCTGATGATATCAAATGATAGGATTCACTCGAAAAACAAATTTATTTTAATGCATTGTAATCCTATTACTCTTTAAATTATAATTTATGTAGTATTTACATTTTTATTTTAACTATCCACAAGGTAATAAGTAAATTACACTTTGAGAATAAGATCAAACTCCAAAACACTTTATTTATTAGAAAAGCTATATTATTTCACGGTCAAATTAATTAGTTTAATAAAAAAAGGGATAATGAGGAAATGAATTCTCACAAATAACAAACTTCATATACGATGTTCTCAATTAAAAAAAGAAGAAGAATAAATGTTTATTTATCTAAAAAATGATGAGATTGTCTGTCAAATTTTTTTTACTCTCTAGAAGTATTAAAAAAAAAAGTAGTCATGCTTCATTAAATGATAGCACACTCCTTGGGTTCCTTAAAAGCCCAATAGCCCGATTAAATGCATCAAGAGTTCTAACGAAGGTTTAGCCCACATATGTGAATTGGCGTGCACACATTACACTGTCGTAACCCTAAAATCTGAACCAGTGGCAGTGACATAAAATATCTCTTCTTATCGATCGAACTCGCGTCTCATTTCCCTCTCATTCATCATCTTAGCTCGCTCCCGCGCTTCGCTTTAACACAGGTCATGGCGGAGGAAGAAGTTGTGGCACCTGCTGCGAGCCCTGTTCCTTCTGATAACAAACGCAAGTTCGAAGATCTGGAGCCCGAAGCTACGCAACTTACTGAACAACTGCCTTCCGAATCTAACGCCAACTCTGACGCTGACAACACTGATGCGGCGGTTCCCGATGAGGGTGAGAACAAGCGTCTTCGCCTCGACGACAACCAGAATGACCTAGGTACTGTGATAGTCAATTTATTCACGGTATACGGATAATAAATCTGTTTTTTATTCGCTAAAATTGTGTTAGTATATCAATCCATGACGATTATCTTCCGAAGAAGCTGTCTTGAGATTTTTTTTTGGTAAATACGCAACTGAAACATTGTTTGCTGTATTCATCATTCTTGCATTGGATATACTTGATAAATAACCGCTTTTATTTTGTTGTTATTGTTACCGCTGTGCTAAATATTATGAATAATAGGTTTATAGAAAATGTTTTGATATGATACAGTAATTGACGCTTTGCTTTGTTTTCGGTGTGAACAGCTAATTCAAACGGGCATGAAGATGAGCAGGATGCTGAGCCCGAAAAAGAAACGGGGGAAAGATCCACTTTGGAGAATGAAAATGAAAATGAGAATGAGAATGAGAATGAGAATGAGAATGTTCTTTCAGAGGATGGTAATCCTACATCCAAAGATCCTCCTGAGGCAACTGCTAATGAACAAGCTTCTAGTGAAATTGGTGAGCCAGCTGAGGCCAAACAACTTCCTATTGAGGACTCTGGAAAGGAAAATGCTGAGGAGCTATCTAAAGAAACTCAAGAACCATCTAAGGAGTCAACAGAGCAAGATGATGCTTCTGGAGATAAGCAACCTCATTCTGTTGATATCGCTTCGGACAATGTGGAGTTTACCGATAATAAGGTGTTGATTTTTTTACCAATCTAATAAGTGTGTTATTCCATGTAGAATATTTTGTTGTAGATTTTTAGTTATTACAATATCATATTTGTTTTTAACTCTCTTTTTTCAGCAAGATGCTTCTTCTGAACAAAAGCAACCTACATCTGGGGATGAAATGACAACACGGAAAATTGAAGTTCCTAACAACAAGGTATTTCAACTCCTTTTGAGGTTCCTAACAATAAGGTATTTCAACTCTTTTAGATGCATACTATTGGGTTCGAACATATTACATAACTATTGTTAATATTAGATTTTGGGGGTGCTGCTGGACATTTTTCTTTGATAAACAAGATGCACTTGAGATATTTCTTCTGTCATGGTTTGTAGTTTTAATTCCTTTTTTGCATACCTACTATTGGTTTATGTATGGTCAATATACTTATATGTTGTATTGGTTCTAGCATGTATTTAGAATTGTACTCAAGGTTTTGAAACAGTAGCCAAAACAGTGTATCCATGTTTTGAGCACTGCCAGTTATTTTTCTTGAGTTGAAACAATCATGTTCGCGAGTGTATCCAATATTTTGAGGGATTATAGAGGAAAAAGAGGAGGCTTGATGGAGTGAGTTGTCTCCTGCTTAGTAGCAGCTTGCAGTTGCTTGATAAGCCTAGAAGAAGTTTAAATGGGGGGGGGGGGGGGGTAAAGTGGCAGTCAGAAGGTTTCTTTACAAAAGATTATGGTTTTCTCTAATTATGCATTGAAATATAAGTTGGGAGCTTTTCGTGGTTGTTACATGGTTTTGTATGTAAGTTAAATTTTCACGGGCGTAAATTTTAAAGCCCTGAAAAGTGAAAATCAATCAATATTTAGAAAATATCTTCCATTCTCTCCCTTTTTATGGCATTTTAGTTTTTGGTTGCTAGTTGGCTAATGCCAGCTATATAGACTATACCTTGAACCTTTTTAATAGAAATTTTAAATTTGTTAGAGTAAAGAATTAAAGTACAACTAGGGAGAGGATAAATATCAAAATATAAAGAACAAGGGAACTTGAAGAGTCAAGAGTGCAACAAGGCTGCCAAATCTCTCCTACAAATAGGAAATGTTAAGTGATAACCCCCTTGAAAGTTGAAACAGCTTTGACTCGTGAACAAAGCACCAAAGAGAAACAATGGACATAATCATATCTCAAGGCAAATATAGGGACAGGTGTTCTGCACCGACTAAGTACATGAAAGAATAGCTAAACCTTTATATTGGTAATGGGGATGGAAAAGGAAAGCAGGACATATAAACTGGAATATTATGCATTATTGCCTATGCTTTTCCATATTTGTTTGGAGTGATATAGGAAGGGTGTTTCGAGGTTAAAAGTTTAAAACCCTGTTTAGTTGGTCCTTTTTACAATCTGGTTTTGGTTCCGGGGTTTCTCTGCACAGTCCTAGGCCCTTTATCATATCAATGAGTGGTGATAGTCTTCCTTTTTCTTTTTTCTCTTTTTTGGTTCATTGAGGACTTCCTTTTGCTTGATTTCTTTGTCCATAGCTTCCTTCAAAGCCTTTATGGATTAATGGTTGAACTCACACTCAGGCATATTTGTTTATTACATCCTCACTAGAAGTTGTCTTCTGTACTAATCTATAATTGGCATTCTTTTCAGGATTGAAATCAGTTTTCTTGATGGATTTATTCTTTTTATTTGCAGGTTGGTGTACTTATTGGCAAGGCTGGAGATACTATAAGATACCTGCAGTATAATTCCGGCGCAAAGATTCAGATCACGAGAGATGCTGATTCTGATCCTCACTCTACAACAAGGGCTGTGGAACTAATAGGAAGTTTGGAAAGTATAGAAAAGGCAGAAAAGCTAATGAGTGCTGTGATTGCAGAGGCTAGATACCATACCATTCTTTATTTCAGTCTTGTTCTTTTTCACTTGCTTTTATTCTAACAACTTTTTTGTTTCATTTTGAGATTCTTCAGGCTGATGCTGGGGGTTCTCCTTCACTTGTAGCTCGAGGTCTCTCCCCTGCTCAAGTTACTGTGGGATCTGAACAAATTCAGATACAAGTTCCAAATGAAAAGGTGATGAACTGATAATATCTCTATTCATGTTATTTTAAAAAAAGGTCAGTATTCATGTGTGGAAGTTTCTTATACAGGTAGGATTAATCATAGGGAGAGGTGGGGAAACAATTAAAAGCCTGCAGACTAAATCTGGGGCACGCATCCAGGTAGTTGTTTTTGTTTTTCGTGAACCTTTTTGTACTAAACATGTGTGGTCCAGATGGGATCTAAGTGGGGAAAGGATTAACATCCTAATATTGAGCTTTATATTTAAACTTAAAATTTCAGCAATAATGACATTAGTTTGGCATCTGAGTTTAGAATGAGATAATGAAATAATTATTGTGCATCTGGAAATCTTTTTTTTAAGAAAAATATGGCAGCTGTTGGATATCTTTGTAATAAATCACTCATCATAAACTGTTGAATAGATCCACAAAATATGATTCCTTGCATATTGATGTGAATGAACTCATTGGTAACAGAGAATTGATGGCATATCAATACATGTAGAAGATTATTCTGTTATGAGTTAAGAGAAGTAATCGCTTATCACACATGTAATTATTTTTAAAATTCAATAATTCACTGCTATCATCTTTTTGTGGAATGTACCAGTCTTATATTTGAAAAATAAATTGTAGATTTCCATGTCATGGACCTTATCTTCTTTGTCTGTGTTAGAGATATATAAAATCATTAATGTAGTTTCACCCAACAACTTAAGCTTTTGGGCTGAATTGGTTCTTTATATGATATCAGAGCCTCGTGTCCCGGGTTCGATCCTCACCGCCCCCCACTTTCTCTTGTGGAATTTCTTTAGCACATGTAGGTGGGCCTGTGCATTATCCACTCTTCATGCCCAATGAGCTCTCGTGTGAGAGGGCGTGTTCGAGATATATAAAACCATTAATGTAATCTCGCCCAACATTTAAGTTTTTGGGTTTAATAGGTTCTTTACAGTCTGAATACCCATCATCCAATCAATAGGAAATTTGAATAGCCTGAATGATATCTGAATGCATATTTTAATAACAATGGATTGCAAAACAAGGGGAAAATTGAAATGCATGTGTCTTCCAAAGATATTTTACAGCTACAGTGCGTAGGGAGCACAGGAGAGGGAGAAAATTAATAATATTTTTCTAGGGAAAAATGAATCAAATTCTCGATAGTTAAGATTTCTTCCACCTGCTTGTGTCTGTGATTGTTTAGGTACAAGATCCTAGCCAAAAGTAATTGGACAAATGCAATCCTACTAAGATTGTCCCGGTATAGTCTTGATTTTGCCTTTATCTCTTCACGTAATTGTAATTTTTTTTGCCTTACCATTTGCAATTTAGTTATTTGTTGATTATTGTCCCTCTTGAATAAAAGATTTGCTTGCATGTTTTGTGGGTTTCATTTTTCTCTTAATCTCTTTTCTTCAATCTTATGGAAGACATGACAAAAGTGTTGAACCTTGAGAGGGAGAGGGAGTTGACGGATGTTTGTAGGATGAAATTCTTCTAGACTTTCTACCTTTAATTCCCCTATTTTGGATTTAGCTTATGTGATGTATTCTTTCTACCTGTTTTAGTTGATACCTCAACATCTTCCAGAAGGAGATGATTCTAAAGAAAGGACTGTCCAAGTTACTGGTGATAAGAGGCAAATTGAAGTTGCACAAGAAATGATAAAGGAAGTCATGAGTCAGGTTTGTTTGACTAATACATTTCTTATGCTGAAATAAAATTGCAATTTTAAAGTTCTGATTTTAATTGTGCTTATTCTTTTACTATACTTCTTATATTAATGCTTATGGTTTTGGATTATCTGATTTACTGATATCCTTTCATGTGGTGTGATTTTTCTGTCATATTTTTATGTTAAGATATGATGCATAAATTAGTTTGGTCACTTGTTGAATTTGGCTGAGGCAATTTTCCCTTAATTTTTGATGACTTGAAGTAGCCTTGATTTTCTTGTATTACTGCATCCAGAGCCATATTTGTGCCTAGTTCTGATTCGTCTTTTCTCTGAATGGGAAAGTGAGGTTTATATGTCATGTTCACTGGGAGTTATTGGGTAATACCATGACACATTGCTTGCAAAGTTTTGTTGCTCTTGATTAATACTTAGTGGTGTTGCTGCTCGAAGTACTATGTGGAAGAGTGCCATGTTTTGAGAAAATTCCTGTAATTAATGAGGTCTATTTTTTACTTCATATGAAACTATCATGCAAACAAAAGTAAATTAAATACTGGAGAATGATTTATGGATAGGGATCCATGTAAAATAGGGATCTAGACATTTTGCATGCAGTGTGCATGTTTAAAATAGGGATCTGGGCAAGCTTTATATTTTTATGTTTGCTCTATTTGGGTTTATTGCTCCACAATTGCATGGTGAATGCAATACAAAACATGATTATGTGCAAGGAAGTGTCCATGTATTTGATGCCTGTATAATCCATTTATGGAAGTATTGTATCAATTGCTGCCATAGAAGTCAGATAGATCACCTGAAACAGTTCGAGTTTCGAAATTGATCAATAATCCATGCCAAGGTCAATTAAATCTTCTAGGAAGATCGTATATGTAAAACCAAGATGTCAGTTGCAATGATTTATTTATCTTGAAGGTGCCAATTTCGAATTGGTTGGCTTTAAAACTGCAGATTTGGCTATTGCCTTTTCCCTGGGGTCAGCATTGCTTTCTTGATGTAGCATAGACAACATATTTTCATCCACTGAAGAGAGGTGGCAGGCAATTAAACCTCGGATTGCAGGATATTTAATGGTTGGTAAGATTGCTTCAAGACTTAAAAATCATGATTCAGTAAGACTATATTGTGCTGGCCTTGGTGCTCAAATAGAGCTGCTGTGTGATTTGCATGAGACCTTTTGGAAGGAAAGAGTCATACCTGGTGAAGTCATGACGCCTGATGATTTTAAATGTGTTGGAGTTGTATTTCTTTTTATCTGTATTTAATTCTGTACTGAGAAATACTGTAATAAGCAATTCATTCATCTGGTGTGTGTTGAGGTTGGTGAAATTGCAATTACAGTTGCCATGTGATCAGGGATGAGTGCAAGTATATCGTGTTCATTTTACGTGCTTTCTAAAATATCTTTGACCTGATGATACTATTGGTTGAAAGGACTAGCCATATTAGATGAATGTTAAGTTGGTGTTGCAACTAAAAAGATCAAAGAAACCTGGATGATCATGTTGATTAATGAAACTTGAATTGCTTCTGAATATTATATTGTCAAATGTGGTTTTGTGGATCTTCTTAACAGAGTGGAAGTCCATCATGCTTAGTTGTCAGTATTCAGTTAATATGCATTCTCATTCCGTTCTGGAGGTCCCTGTCTTTACTCTTCATGATTGATTTGTGATTATAAGCAATTCTGACATATTCAATACATTTATTGGCCCCTTCTTCTATTTCAACCTGGCATGTGTTGTTTCAGTTTTCACTGTATTCTGTTTTAAACTTTTTTATAGAACATGTTAGTATGTTGTTAAGCGGAATTAGTTAAATTTCAATGTGTGTTATCTCTTGTATCGTTTGCTTGCATTGGAAAGTTATTATTGAATTGATAGATTGAAATTTAGCTTGTCGTGCATTTTGAGTTTTGCTTTGGCATTGTCAGGCTTCTTCCTTTTCCCCTCCCTTATTTGCTGAGGTGAGATCTTTTTTCTCAGATGTAACATCAAACATATAGCTTTGTTTTATTTGTATAGTGTTTACTTGATTACCTGCTGTGGTTGAGCTCGAGATGATATGACATGCTATAGATTTTCTGTTATTTTGACAGCCTGCTGTATGTCATTTTGTCAGTTCACACAGTTTCAGCTCTAACCATTATAATAGTTCTGATGAGTTAGTGTATATGCTCTATTGGGGCCAATTGTATGATAATGCAATGGTAAATGTAATTCTTGAGATTTTGCTGAGCAAATTATTTTTATCTTTGACATTGCTTTGTTTTTTTGTTTTTTGGTGGAGTACATCTTTTAATTTTTAGTTTGACTATTCATGGCAATCAAGTGTGTGCTCAAAATGGGTATGAAAATTTGCTGTTGATTTGGCTCTGAAAATTATTATTCAATTCTGTATGAAAATTAATGGGACCCTTAAAGCAGCATCTTTGCTGTTGATTGAGCTCTACATGTACTTATGATATTATTCTGATTAAGATATTTTTCCTATTTACTTACTTCTGTCTTATGTTTTGCATGAATAGCCTGTCAGGCCATCAACTGGTTTTGGCCAGCAGGCCTACCGCCCACCCCGTGGTTCTGGTGCCCCACCACAATGGGGTCAACGAGGTTCTCATTTTGGCCACCCGACAGCATATGATTATCAGCATCGCGGGCCATACCCTTCTCATAATCAACCATATGCAGCTCCAGCATATGGAAGCTATCCTCAACATATGGCTCCAAGAAGCAGCTTTGGTTCTGGTTGGGAGCAAAGGCCTCACCACAGCTTCCAGGGACCATCTCCACACAATGGTGGTTATGATTATTATGGAGGACAAGGGGGTCATTTATCTGATGCTCCACCATCAACCCAGCATCCCAGTTCAGTCCCCCAACATGGTACTGGTCCTTCCCCTGTACCTTCTATGGGCCCATCCCCAACTCAGATGAATTACAATTATGGACAACCACAAGGCCAGGATTATAGTCATCAGACACCTTATACTCAGGCAGGATTTCCTCAACAAGGTTATGGACAAGGATATGATGAATCAAAGTTTGAAAACCGTGCTCCTGCTCAACATCCCTATGGAGGACATATAAGTTCTCAACCGACGTACCCTCAGGCTGGTGCTCAACCCAATCTTGTTGCACCACAGCAGTATGGCAAGCCACCATTATATGGCATGCCATCACAGGGACAGCCTATGCAATCTTATGGTCACCCGAGAGCTACTCAACCAGGGGATGTGCCGTATCAAGGTTCTACTCCTGCCCAATCATATGGTATGAATATGCAAACCCAACAGCCATACCCATATGTGTCCTCTGGGCCATCACAAGCAGCATATCCGACTTATGGGTCTGCACCAGCTGCAGATAGCTACAATCACCCACAGCCTGCATCTGGCCCACTTTATGCCCAGCCTGGTGGACAACCCAGTTATGGCCAGCCAGGTGCCCAGCCTGCTGCTAGTTATGCACAAGTTGGTCATACTGGTTATGGATCATACCCATCTTCTCAGCAAGCTTACCCTGAACAAACGGCTCCTAGCAATGCAGTTTATGGCTACCAAGCGCCCCAAGATCCTAGTTACAGCAGCGGTGCTGCACAAGCGTATAGCGCAACACCAAGTGGACAGCCAGGTTATGTTCAACCGACGCCAACTCAAACCGGGTATGAACAGTCTAACCCACAATCAGCAGGTTATGCAGCTGTACCTGCAAGTGCTCCAGCTGCGTATGGCAAGACATTGTCGCCTCAGCCTGCCTATCCCCAATATGACTCCACCCAAGTTTATGGTGCTTCTCGATGAAGTTTTTTGTATTGACAGCCAATTTGTAGTAGTACTAGCATGTTCTAGTTTAGTGGCCTCGTTCGGTGTAACTCGCATTTGATTTTCTTGTAATATCTACTGCTTTTAATCATAAAACATGAAATCTAATTTTTCTTAATTTGGCGCTCTGAATGTTATGATTTCTAGATGATCAAAAATCTTAATAGGCGTACCTAAAGCTAATAATCCTGTAGTTACTAACCGGAAGTGCCTAGTGTGGGACATGACTCGATTTTACACTCTACCTAAAGGAGAGAATTTATTGTGCTCTGGGATCATCATTTTTTAGGTGGTCCTTTAGTGTAAATGGGAGGGTAAAATTGAAAAAGAAGAAAAATAGCAGGGGTAAAAAAGGAAAGAAAAAATTAGTGTTGTGAGAGGGAGCACCAAATCACTGGGTGGTCCTGGAGCATAAAAAATATTTCCCTACCTAAAACTATATATATGGAATTATCGTTTTTCTAGTTGTTTGAGTTAATTTTACCACTGATTATTAAATTATAATCATACAAAGACGGATCAATGATGATAAAAAGTGAGAAAAATGAAATTATAACCATTCAAAGATAAATCAATTAATATAAGAAAATAAATAAACAAAATGACGTAGGTTTTGTGTGGACGGAGATAAATATATCTCAAGCTGCTTACAAAATTTAGTAAAAGAGGCCTTTATGTTTTCAATGCTTTGTTGTTGCATTTCTCTCAACGGTTCTTGTACTATGACATGACTTGTCAGACTCCGTTCGGTTCATAATTCAATGCTTCGGTCACTATGATTACTTTTAGAATTCGTGTACTAACGCCATTTTATATGCACATAATTGCATGCTTCAAGTGTTTTTAAACAATAAGTTAGCTTTAGGAATCGTACTCCGACCACAAAGTGACTGAAAAAGGTTGTGTGGTTATCTAAGAAAAAGTGTTTCTAAAAGCATGCATTAAGAGACAACAGAACTCGTTAACTTCATTTCCTCCTTCATCCATCTTCAATAATTTAGAACAACTCTGCAGTATATACATCTTATTTCTTAATGTATATAGAAAAATTTGAGCAACTCAATATTCAATTCATTTTGAATTCTGAATATCTGCGTCAAAATAACGCTTAGTCGAAGGGTTAGTAGTCTAATCGTTTTTGGACAAATCAACTTGTAATGAAGTTAACCCAGTGGTACCAGGGTTCCTAAGCTGATCAAGCTGCTTGTTGCCACGGCGAAGTAAGTACTCAATGTAGAGAAAGTTTTTCCGATCTACTTCCACGGAATTACGGCGAAACTCTTGTGATGCTATTGACTCTATGTTGCGCCGTTCTTCATCAGATTTGGAACGTGTTGCTCGCATAAACCCTCTGTACAAGCTAAGTACTTGCTTCTGCATCCCAGAAAGCCTTTGACCTCTGGAAGCTCCCATTGTGTCTAACAATATACGAGTTTTCAGAGTGAATTCTGTACAAAAAGAGTAACAAATAACAATACTCGTGAGTTCAAGAATTAACAATTGAAGCTCTGCAAGTCATTTTATCAAACACTTTATAGGCAATTTTTGCTTAATTTGATAATAGAATTAATAACCTCAAAAGGAGCAAACCAATCTGAATTGCTTAGGATCGAAATCCAGGCGAAGATGAAGATGAGATTTTGAACTTCAAATACAATTCATCTGATCTGACATCAATGACTCGTGTCTTGGAAGAACTGAAAAGTTAGGTTTAGTTAGGTAGTTCGGCAAAGATCTAAAATGGGCTCAACAGATATAGAAGCATTTGGGCTAAGTTGAGTTTGGGTTTTGGCTCGCAATAAATAGGGTCCGTTATTTTCTTCATCCAATATTCAAATCGTTTCGCCACTAGTCTTTGCTATCACTAAACTAAAATGCATTTACTTGATTAGTGAGTTCTATGATTATTAATTTATTATTATCTTGTGTAGGAGCGGGACCTTATAAGAATGTAAAGGAGGGTCAAGGGGAAACAATTAGGTTCCTTGCGGACAATTATGCTCTAGTAACAATTAGGGTCACGATCATTGCTGCAGAATAATGCATCCAAATTTCCTAGCCTATTGATATTTTCATATGAAAAATAAAAGTTGGAGCTTGTTTCGAAGAATTTAGTTCCAATTCATTGATGTTTGGGTACTCGTAATGTATTCATAATTGTTGGAAACAAGTTCAGTACCAAGTATCCTGTCATTACGACTAGCTAGCAGTAGTTTTAAATGAGTCAACTCTTTTTCCGCGAAGATTAATTCTTTCGACATGGGAGATCACCGAATTGGATATACATGTCCTAACAAAGTCTTTTCCATACACACGGCTAAGAATCAAACCACTGTCAGCATACTTAAAGGACCAAACTATCTACCAATTGTGCCGGACTTTGTTGGTAATCAATTCTTTCCTTGGCCGAAAACATAAATTCCTTAGTCTATAATCAAGAAAAATCAAGAATCTCTGAAGGTCCGATAAAATAAAAACCGACGTTATCTTAGAACTTGATATAAACACAATTTGTAATGTTAAATTTCTCAAACTCAGAACACAAAAAGATCGGCTAATTTTTTTCAAACTCAAATTTTTTTTTCCTTAACATGAGCAAAATTGAAAAACTAAACAAGAGGCGTCTCCATACTTCTTATCTTCCTTCTCAGCCTCAGCAGCTCTTTTCAACCTTGCACCCATGTGATGTTGGTTCGTCCTCTCTAGACGCAGTTTATAGTATGCCTTGAATGATTTCATCTCTTCAGTAACTTTCACAAGTTCCACGGATGGCTTTTCGCATACAATGGGCATGTACAGACCCTGCACCTGTGTTGCTATAGCTAGCTCCTCTGGAGTAGAATCACCATCCTGCAGCAAAGGGAAGGAGAAAATTTATATGCTTATTTCCAAGAGATTACCATCATTCCATCAATGTACTTCAATTACAATCATCACTGGAGGGAGTGAGCCTTAGCCACAAGGACACCATTTCGTGTCCTACAAGGAAGAAAAGGCGATCCCATTTCCCAAAGGCATGCCTTCGATGAGCTATCAAGTGATACCATGTTGTATTCTGCTGTTCCTGTTATAAGTACAACTGATTTTGATGACTCTGGATGTCCCTCCACGGATGCATCCTGCCATGAAATCCAAGTCCCAATGTTAAAGTCAAAGACAAGCTAGAGCTAATTATATGATGAAAAATTTCTTTGTTAGCTATGCACCAAATTTCATAAACCAAATCCAGCCAACCTGATTTGCACCCAAGTTTTAATATATTAAAAATAAAACTGAAAATTAAAAATTTAGAAAATAAAATAAAATATTCAAGTATGCAAGTAACAGGTCATAAATGCATACCTGAGTCTGAGTGATCTTTGCAGATTTAGAATAATATAATGCTATTCATTTGATATAACAAGCAATTTTCATGTCAACTACTAAGAAAGACTTCCTAAGCATACAAATGCAAATGCTGAAGCCATTCTAGCGATACATTCTAATTAAACAGAGATTGAACATTAAAGATTGACAATAAAGCTATAAGGTGAAGGCATGTGCATGATTTTACATCTCTAGGAGAGCAAGTGCAAGATTCTAGCTATGGCTTATGTGAGAAAGTGCAAGGGAGAAAGCAGGACAGATGTGATATTTGATAAAACAGTTTAGTAGGATTAACAAGCAAGCATTTTTTAAATAAATCATAAATTTGGTGACGAGGCAGTGATTCCTTAACATATAATTGGATTTGTATAAACAAAATTGATACATACAATATGCACTCATTTAAGTATGCGGTCCGATAAGCCTTGATCCAAACATAAATGAATTCTTACAGCTCCGGAATACGGAGAAATTTGTGTATGAGAATCGAAATGGATGTCCTTAAAACACATAATCAAATGGGGGTCTGAAGTGTACATCTTATTTCTTAATGTATATAGAAAAATTTGAGCAACTCAATATTCAATTCATTTTGAATTACGAATATCTGCATCAAAATAACGCTTAGTTGAAGGGTTAGTGTCTAATCGTTTTTGGACAAATCAACTAGTAATGAAGTTAACCCAGTGGTACCAGGGTTCCTAAGATGATCAAGCTGCTTGTTACCACGGCGAAGTAAGTACTCAATGTAGAGAAAGTTTTTCCGATCTACTTCCACGGAATTACGGCGAAACTCCTGTGATACTGTTGACTCAATGTTGCGTCGTTCTTATTCAGATTTGGAACGTGCTGCTCGCATAAACCCTCTGTACAAGCTAAGTACTTGCTTCTGCATCCCAGAAAGCCTTTGACCTCTAGAAGCTCCCATTGTGTCTAGCAATATACGAGTTTTCAAAGTGAATTCTGTACAAAAAAGAGTAACAATACTCATGAGTTCAAGAATTAACAATTGAAACTCTGCAACTCATTTTATCAAGCACTTTATAGGCAAATTTTTTTCTCTCAATTTGATAATAGAATTAGTTACCTCAAAAGCAGCGAACCAATTTGAATTGCTTAGGATTAGGGTTGGCAAAATGGGCCAACCCGGCTTGACTCGGCCCAACCCACATTTGGCCCGAAAAAATCGAGCCGGGTTAGGGTTGACTCGAAAAAAAAAACGAGCCAGAAAACCCAGCCCAGCCCGACTCGAGCCGGGTTAGGGTTGACTCGCGGGTTGGCTTGAAAAAAACTCCGAGCTGGCTTGAAAGATTGGATCGCGGGTTAGCTCGAAAAAATACTTACGGGTTGGCTCATTTTTGGCTCGCGGGTTAGCTCAAAAAATAGGTTTTGGTGGAGCTAGTCACATCTGTTCTTCAACACTGCACAATATTATCAACATTGCCAAAGCTATTGCCTAATAGATCAAATGGTAAAGACAATACTAATACAAACAAATGGTAAAGGCATAACAGAGTCCACTGCAAATGTGTAACTAATACCAAGCAAAAAAATAAAAAGCATAAAAGTTGTGTGTTATATTTCGCCCACAAGACTTGCGCAGTGTAGTCACTTGTATAGCTCTCAAGGTTATCTCTACAAAGATAAATAAAAATAGATAAAGCATTCCACAATTTATATTGTCAACTTCCTCTTCTACATTCAGGATCCATTCATTACGTTTCCCTTTCTACAGAGAAGCACAAACATAAAACTAAGAGAAATTATATCCACACATTGAAATGAAAAGCAAAGTCAATATGACTGTGGTGGCATATTTGGAACGAAAATCTCTGTGATAAATTTCTTTGAACCATTTGATATGAAGCCGTTCAAAACTTTATCATCATCTTCGCTTGAAGAATCTGTAGCGCCTGGATCACTGTATATAATTCTTATTTTAGTGAAAGAATTCAAGTTTTCCATTTTTCCTGTGAAATTTTCTTTTGCTTTCTTGAAATACATGTCATGAACTTTTCTTTTGCTTTCTTATTTTCCTGTGAATTCAAGTCACTGCTTAAAATACTATACAAAAAAGCTCTTTAATGAAAAGTAATATACATGTTTTAAATCCTCTAAAATACATGTCATAAATTTCAAAATATACATTGAAAGATATCAATGTGCAAGCACATACCTTTTTGATGAGAGAACAGTGCAGCATGCAAAGGATGAAGAATGGGCAGATTCAAGAAAGTATGCACAGGAGAGAAACAAGAAGAAAGGGATATATATCTGCTTCGTAAAGTGACCAGATTCGGAACCAATGAAAACAAAAAAGATAAAAGAAAGGAAGAGCTTAAAATTGCCAGGTTCCCCAAAATTTATCCTTCTCCACCACATTCTCTAAATTTATTTGTGAAGAGAGGACACCAATACCATTCCCAAATGATGGTTTTTTTCAACGATCATTATTTGACAGAAATTACGATTCTGGGTCAGATCCATTCAACAAAAGAACCAAAAATAACAACCAGAAGGCTTATCCAAAAAATTAATCACATTTGCAACAAATTAATCATCATGAAATTAAGAAATCAGCTAGTACGGAAAACATAATATCAAAATAATAGAGAGGAGAAAAAGTTTACAAGTTTCCCCACAACCAACGAAAACATGGTAAAGTTTGATTAAGACTAAGAAGAAAAAGAGAATACCTGAAAACACAGAGGTGGCGATGGAGAGGAGGAGCACGGTGGCTGCCAAGATCTGGAATGAAAAGGGAACAAAAAAAAATATTAACAAAATGCCAAGATCAGTAAAACAAGAAGAAAGGGGAAAAAAAACTTTACAGTTTGTGTTGCGGAAGAGGAACGAACGATGTCGTCGCCGTCGGTGTGGGTGGGGTGGGGGACCTGGTAGTGGTGAGTTTATGAATGTGTGATATGCGTGACGCGTGAGCGTGACTGATTTTTATTTTATTTTATTTAAAAAAAAAGAGTAACCCGCGAGCTGGCTCGGGTGGGTTGAATACAGCTCATTTTTACCAACCCAACCCGGCTCGTTTTTTGCGGATTACGAGCTAACTCGTTGGGTTGGCTCATTTTTGCCACCCTTGCTTAGGATTGAAATCCAGGCGAAGATGAAGATGAGATTTTGGACGCGAAGATGAAGATGAGATTTTGGACTTCAAATCCAATTCATCTGACATCGATGATCTGTGTCTTGGAAGAACTGAAAAGTTAGGTTTAGTTAGGTACTTCGGCAAAGATCTGAAATGGGCTCAACAGATATAGAAGCATTTGGGCTAAGTTGAGTTTGGGTTTTGGCTCCCAATAGATAATCTGAAATGGAGCTTCATCTTATATTCTAAGACAAAGCCATTCTTTGGCAACTTCTGACACGTGGCTGCTTCTCCTTCTGACACGTGTTTGCTTTCACACTACACAATTCAAAAAGTTTCAATTTTTGGTAATTCAGGGAATAAAAAAATTCAAAAAGAAATTATAATATGGACTCAAAATTGATGGCCACGATTTGCTACCTAAAATCAATGGTGCAGATCTGTTTTCATTTTTATTGGGACACAGCTCATCTTTTTTTTAAATTTGAAATTTGGAGTTCAAAATGTAAATTTAATTTTTAAAAACTGACAACTCAGTTAATGTTCACCTGCTTTCTTGAAATTGTCAAACGTTTAACAAAATATACAAGCATTCTGACTGTTCTATGAATTGCAAAATATACACGTTCAGCACGATCTAACTAATTGAACACGATAATCTCTCTACCGCCTCTCTCTATCTCTCTCCGTGTGTGCTAAGAATATCAGAATCGCCGCACAATGATGCCGCCAAGCTCCGCGATGCGTTCGATTTGTACGATCGCGACAGGACCGACCTCATCTCCATTTCCAATTTCATCTCTTCCAGTGATTCATTTCAGCAGATACTGACCCTGTCAACAATTCGTCTAAAAAAAAAAATCGAAACCCTGTCACAAGAACACCGCCATCACGGATGCTCTCTTCGACGAACAGGACCATCTCCATCGCTTGGCCGCTGGCGCCTCCTCCATGTCTGTTGATCACCTCTGCCGCTTCCTGACGGAGCACTGTCACCACCGAGTCCCGTGGACTCACTCCTTGAAATCTCAGCAAGGTGAGTTCCCTGACTGTCTTCACTTATGTTTAGCACGGTTATTCACATCTGCAATCAAATCTCTGATTCTTTTGAATTTTGATCACTAGGAACTTGCTTACTGATTTAAAATTAATGTAATTTTTCATTTCAATATTTCACCTCTTTCAGGTTCCAATTCATTCCCTAGATGATATTTCTCAACAGTCTATTTGACTACCTGTCCCTTCTTATTATTTGGAAGTGGGTCACTGGTTCTCAAGCTGATTTGTACCATGTAATGCTCTACATGTTCCTGAGCCCGACAGATGATTTGGGTGAAAACCAACACTTTGTTGGTCAGAAAAATCTGCAGGTTGGTTAACTCCCAACACCCCCCCCCCCCCCACCTTTTGGTGTATTTCCGTAAGAATAATACTTACGCGCTTTGTTCTGTTCCTACCAGCTTGTGCTTTTGCTTCTAGCTGTTGTCGCTGTGCCCTGGATGCTTTTGCCAAAACCTTTTATTTTGAAGAAGCAACATCAAGATGTATGCTTCCTTTTGTACTTCAAGTTCTCTTTTTGTTCTAATATGGAACTTTTACCTATGTTCTCAGAACATTGTTCTGGTTCTAATAGTTATGTTACTTCAGAGGCATGGAGTTGAATCCTATATACCACTCGAAAGCACAGAGGAGAGCTTGCAAGTGGAGGCAAGTCATGATTCCCATGTTCATGAGAAATTTGATTTCAGTGAAATCTTTGTACATCAACTCATTCACACCATAGAATTTGTACTTGGAGCAGTGTCTAATACAACTTCTTACCTTCGTCTGTGGGCCCTTAGGTATGTCTTTAAGTGGCGCAATTGTTCTATTCTAATATAAATGTCTGAGTACAAGAGATACAAGGTTGGAACCTCACATCATTTAGGTTATTAGTTTTGTATTTCTATTTATCTGTAGGTATGTTATATGTATGTATTAATTACAGTTATGCATTTACTGATGTTTTCCCTTTTTTATACCCAGTCTTGCTCATTCAGAGTTATCAAGTGTTTTTTTAATGTTTTAAATTTTGTGATTGCGCCTCTGATGTGATTTCTACTTTCAAACAATTCAACGGGTTCTCTTGCATTTCTATTCTACTTGATGCTAAGGGATTTTCTCATGTACCCTGGTATGTATGCATAATGATTATAAGGTGCTGTTTTTGGAGGACTCTTATATCGACAAAATATGATTTGGAATAATGGATACGGTGAGAATTTGAGACATAGTATAACATTTTGGACTGTAATTTTACAATGTATTTTTGGCATTGTGCTAGAAGTTATATTGACAGTAAGATTTTGAGACATTGCTTCCTCTCAACATTAGGTGCCGTATTGGACCATAATATAAATAATATATCTTTGGAGAGAGATAGAGATTATATTATCATAATATCAAATTCAACTATTACGAACTTTTCTACTTATTTTTTCTTACAGTTTAATTTTAATTTGAGTTGCAGGAGATTTCGGGATAAGAAAGAGGCTGTGGAACCCGAGGCAGACCCAGAAAGGGATCAGAGATTTGTTTTTGCTTACCAGGTTGATTGGATGCTCTTTTTTTGTTTGTTTTGAATATTATTAATGTCTATAACATATTTGGATATTTGGTGTCATTTTTTTTATGATTGCCTAATTTGCTATGTGGTGATCACAGATGCCTCTAAAAGCAACAGAGAGAGATGTATATGAGTTCTTCTCAAAAGCTGGCAAGGTCAGTTGCTTTAAATTTTGATGTACTTTTGGCATTGGAACTGAGATGACTTCTGTTTCCATTGAACTGCAATGACTTCTATTTCCATGAAAACTGTTAGTATTATTTTATACTTTAGTGTATTTATGCTTCTCTTCTCAATTGTGATAAGAAGCATAGTAAATGCATTTTATTCTGAGATGAAGTTGTGGGATGAAGTTGAGGTCTTTGGGTTTACTTTTGTATCATTGTATATCACACTTCTTAAATATTCAAGGTGAGGAAGGAAAAGCTCTACAGCTAAGTATCAGTGATATAATGTCCCTTAAATTAATTTGATTAATGTAGTCAACTTTTAGTTATATTGTATGTTTTTTTGTTATATGTTGTATGATGCATTGATTGCTTTTTTTTCTCTTACTACACAAGATGATGTTATCAATAGGCCAGCTTTTTTCATTTGATTCCCCAATGAAATGTAGAGGAATCGTTTTAAGAAGAGCCTATGAAGATGTATTAGCGTTTTTGAAGTTGAAGAGAAAAGACCAAGTGCAAACTGTCTTCAATGATTTTGATCCTCAGCATACTGAGCACAATGGTCATTTTGATCATATGAGCCTCCTTCCCCTGGTTCCTTATGAGGATCCCTCTGCTCCTCCAATTCCAGATTCTCCAGTAGCAGATTCTGCTACTATTGGAATTAAAGCTAATATGTTAGCTAATTTTGAAGTTAATGGAGAACAAGTGGATTACAAAAAGATGGAATTAGGAGATATGGTGTATGTTCCTTGGCTAGAAGAAGTTTTCCATATTCATCCTACATTAATAGAGTGCCAAAGGAACAAGACTCCCAAGTATGCAGGTTGGGCTTTTACAGCACTTGGCAGGACACCTTATTCAATGCCCAGCTGTACCACTCAGCTGTTTCATGTCAGACTTTAATGATGATGATTTCTAAATTTAAATTGAGAGGCTCTTTTTAAATTTCAACTTCAAACTGATCATGATTTCTACATTGGAATGATCAGCTCTTTTAAAACAAGATATGATTTCTATTTAAAAATTCAAAATATGATTTCGATTTTGTTTTTGAAATTTCATTTTTTAAATATTTCAATTTAATTTTTTAAATTCAAATATATATATATATATATATATATATATATATTTGAAAATTCAATGTTGAAAACTTCACTGATGTGTCACTCCCTGCTTAATTCTGAAAATTGTGTTCACACTACATGACATATAAAAACTTTCTTTTAAAAATCGAATTTTATTTTTTAAATCAAAAAATAAATGATCATTTGTGGTGGCAGAGAAGTTATTGAGTGTCCCACTGCCCATCACATTGGAATTGGTCAGCTGATTTAATTGCTTTTTACATTGGAATTTTGAAATTCGAATTTTGATTGCTCATTTAATTGGAATGACTTATCTGATCTAAAATTCGAATTTTGAAATGGAATGACTCAGCTGTTTTAATTGCTCATTTGATATAAAAATTCAAATTTTGAAATGGAATGACTCAGCTGTTTTAATTGCTTTTTACATTGGAATTGCTCATCTGATCTAAAATTTGAATTTTGAAATGGTTTCAAATTTTGAATTTAAAATATGGATGGTCGGAAAAGATTTGGAGAGTTTTTGGTGGCGGAAATTTTTATGTAAATGTCAACTCTAATACGGCATTCGAATTTTTACAAAAATTAGACAATCACCAACTGTAAGTAATAATAAAAGGAATGATAAATTAAAATTCTCTGTAAATGTCATAAATTATACACTGAAAGAAATTTTAAAAGACTGTGTAAAGAATCAGACATAACAACACACCATAAGCTGCCATTTACTAATCAATCAATTTCTTACCAAAACACAATTAAAATTTAAAAGAGAAAATTATAGATTAAACAAAAAAAATGTTTCAAATTATAAAAATTTAAATATAGTTGATACAAAATAATTTAAATTTGGAAATTAAATGAAAAAAAATCAGAAATGACATATTTATACCTCAAAAGAAAATAAATTAAAAATTTAACTTAAAAAATAATTCAATAAAAGAAAAAATTTCGTATGAGTACTTTTTTAAAAAAATTAATATAAACGTTTTAAATTTATATGTATAACCAATTTAAAAAATATAAAATTTTAAATTAAAAGAGAAAAAACTTACAAAAAAGATATAATTAATATAAAAGAATTTAAAATTTAAATTTTAATAAATAATTAAAAAGTTACATCTATGATTCTCTAAAAAATAAATTATTAAAATTTAATGCACATATTTCGATTTTCTTCTCATTCCTCACTCTTTTGAAATTCGAATTCTGAATTGATTTCAAATTTTGGATTTCAATTTTAAATTTCAAATTGTAATGGTGGGAAAGGATTTGCAAATAAAAAATTAAATAAATAATAATTTTTATTAAAAATCGATCTAAAAAATCAATGGAAAATTAAGTTAATCATTTATGGTGGCAGACAACTCATTCGATGTCCCATTATTTTTTGCATAGATATTTGTTAGCCCTATTAATGCTGCATAAAAAACAAAAATATTAAAAAATTGTAAAATAACAAAATTATTTATATTGTAAAATAAATTCAAAATCTGGAAATAAATTAAATAAAAAATTGTGATTTTAATTTTTGTAAATATAAATTTGTGAAATTCCAAATATTAATGACACTAATACTTGCAAACAATAATTATTTATATAAAATGCTGATAGTTAGAGGTGAAAAACTGGGCTCAGCCCGGAGGGCCGGTCCGCCAATATATTTTTATAATTCAATTGAAATTTTATCCTTATTCTTTTATAATTAAATTACTAAATCTGATTTTTATTTTTGTAAATACAAATTTGTGAAATTTCAAAGGCTAACGACACTAATCCTTGCAAAAAATAATTATTTATATAAAATGCTGACAGTTAGAGGTGGAAAACTGACCTCGGCCCGGAGGGCCGGCCTGCCAATATATTTTTATAATTCAACTGAAATTTTATCATTCTTCTTTTATAATTAAATTACTAAATCTGATTTTAATTTTTGTAAATACAAATATGTGAAATTCCAAAGATTAACGACACAAATCCTTGCAAAAATAATAATTATTTATTATTATTTTATAAATCTGATTGTAGTAAATGAAAGTTCATTTCTGAGATAAAATATAAAAACCTAGAATGACGATGAACCCATTAAGTTACACATTTCCTATAAATTTCCAAAGAAGACAATTCCCCCTGATTGTTTCATTTGCCATGACTATCAATAAGAGCCAAGGACAATCTCTTTCTCATGTTGCGATTTATCTCCCCAAGCCTGTCTTCACTCATGGGCAGTTATATGTGACACTGTCTAGAGTAAAGAGCAAGCATGGATTAAAGATATTGATACTTAATGAAAACGGTTGTGTTACAAATAGTACCCTTGATATAATTTACAAGGAAGTATTTCAAAGATTAATGTCGTGAATTTCCTTCTGTCTACTATGAGATAACATCACTCCTTGGTACAGTTAAAGACAAAAAAAAATGGCAATGAAGTGCTTTTTTATTTATATTCGTTAACATTAGGTTTTTTTAACTGCTGCTTTTTTTTTCTTATGCAGGAATCGCTTTTCATGCACACATGGTATATTGTTAACTGCTATTTTTGAATAAACAATATTTCATGGTCATCAATATATGGATGTATTGTTATAACACTTTTTATTTGTACTCACATGTTCATGTGTTTTTTTTTTCATACTTTCATTTGTAGATTATTACTAATTCATTTCTAAGAGGATGAAGGATCACAAATGTAGGTTCGGCATCTTGCATGTGTTGCGTTAGTTTTTACGAGACAAACAAATCGATTTTTTTTTCCTCCGTGCAACGCACGGGTAATAGACTAGTTTTTTAATATCGAGAAAGGGTCCGTTATTTTCTTCATCTTATATTCAAATTGTTTCGCCACTTGTCTATGCTATCACTAAACTAAAATGCATTTACTTGATTAGTGAGTTCTATGATTGCTGTTATCTTGTGTAGGAGGGTCAAGGGGAAACAATTAGGTTCCTTGCGGACAATTATGCTGTGGTAACAATTAGGGTCACGATCATTGCTGCAGAATAATGCATCCAGATTTCCTAGCCTATAGATATTTTAATATGAAAAATAAAAATTGCAGCTTATTTTGGAGAATTTAATTCCAATTCATTGATGTTTGGGTCGTAATGTATTCATAATTGTTGGAAATAAATTCAGTACCCTGTCATTATGGCGAGCTAGCAATAGTTTTAAATGAGTCAATTCTTTTCCCTTTTTGGTTTCCCAAGATATTCTCTGGCCAGCCCATAGGCGAAGACTAATTCTTTCGTGCAGGAGATCACCGAAGTGTATATACCTCTCCCAACAAAATTTTTACCGTACACATGGCTAGGAATCGAACTAGTGTCAGCATACTGAAGGACCTAACTATCTACTAACTCTACCCGACTTTGTTGTTAATCAATTCTTTCCTTGGGCTAAAACATAAAAAATTCCTGAGTAGAATCAAGAAAAATCAAGAATCTCTGAAGGTCCGATAAAATAAAAACCGATGTTACCTTACAACTTGATATAAACAAAAATTGTAATGTTAAATTTGTCAAACTCAACACAAAAAGATCTGCTAATATTTTTCAAACTCAATTTTTTTTTCTTAACATGAGCAAAATTGAAAAACTAAACAAGAGGCGTCTCGTCTCCCTACTTCTTATCTTCCTTCTCAGCCTCAGCAGCTCTTTTCAACCTTGCACCCATGTGACGTTGGTTCGTCCTCTCTAGACGCAGTTTATAGTATGCCTTGAATGATTTCATCTCTTCAGTAACTTTCACAAGCTCCATGGATGGCTTTTCGCGTAGAATGGGCATGTACAGACCCTGCACCTGCTTGCAAAGTTTGTTGCTCTGATTAGTACTTAGTGGTGTTGCTGCTCGAAGTACCATGTGGAAGGGTGCCATGTTTTGAGAAAATTCCTGTAATTAATGAGGTATATTTTTTACTTCATTTGAAACTATCATGCAAACAAAAATAAAATACTGAAGAATGATTTATGGATAGGGATCCATGTAAAATAGGGATCTAGACATTTTGCATGCAGTGTACATGTTTAAAATAGGGATGTGGGCAAGCTTTATATTTTTATGTTTGCTCTATTTGGGTTTATTGCTGCTCCACAATTGCATGGTGAATGCAATACTAAACATGATTATGTACAAGGAAGTGTCCATGTATTTGATGCCTGTATAATCCATTTATGGAAGTATTGTATCAATTGCTGCCATAGAAGTCAGATAGATCACCTGAAACAGTTCGAGTTTCGAAATTGATCAATAATCCATGCCAAGGTCAATTAAATCTTCTAGGAAGATCGTATATATAAAACCAAGATGTCAGTTGCAATGATTTATTTATCTTGAAGGTGCCAATTTCGAATTGGTTGGCTTTAAAAATGCAGATTTGGCTATTGCCTTTTCCCTGGGGTCAGCATTGCTTTCTTGATGTAGCATAGACAACATATTTTCATCCACTGAAGAGAGGTGGCAGGCAATTAAACCTCGGATTGCAGGATATTTAATGGTTGGTAAGATTGCTTCAAGAATTAAAAATCATGATTCAGTAAGACTATATTGTGCTGGCCTTGGTGCTCAAATAGAGCTGCTGTGTGATTTGCATGAGACCTTTTGGAAGGAAAGAGTCATACCTGGTGAAGTCATGACGCCTGATGATTTTAAATGTCTTGGAGTTGTATTTCTTTTTATCTGTATTTAATTCTGTACTGAGAAATACTGTAATAAGCAATTCATTCATCTGGTGTGTGTTGAGGTTGGTGAAATTGCAATTACAGTAGGCATGTGATCAGGGATGAGTGCAAGTATATGACATGCTTTCTAAAATATCTTTGACCTGATGATCCTATTGGTTGAAAGGACTAGCCATATTAGATGAATGTTAAGTTGGTGTTGCAAGTAAAAAGATCAAAGAAACCTGGATGATCATGTTGATAAATGAAAACTTGAATTGCTTCTGAATATTATATTGTCAAATGTGGTTTTGTGGATCTTCTTAACAGAGTGGAAGTCCATCATGCTTAATTGTCAGTATTCAGTTAACATGCATTCTCATTCCCTTCTGGAGGTCCTTGTCTTTACTCTTCATGATTGATTTGTGATTATAAGCAATTCTGACATATTCAATACATTTATCGGCCCCTTCTTCTATTTCAACCTGGCATGTGTTGTTTCAGTTTTCACCGTATTCTGTTTTAAACTTTTTTATAGAACATGTTAGTATGTTGTTAAGCGGGATTAGTTAAATTTCAATGTGTGTTATCTCTTGTATCGTTTGCTTGCATTGGAAAGTTATTATTGAATTGATAGATTGAAATTTAGCTTGTGGTGCATTTTGAGTTTTGCTTTGGCATTGTCAGGCTTCTTCCTTTTCCCCTCCCTTATTTGCTGAGGTGAGATCTTTTTTTCTCAGATGTAACATCAAACATATAGCTTTGTTTTATTTGTATAGTGTTTACTTGATTACCTGCTGTGGTTGAGCTCGAGATGATATGACATGCTATAGATATTCTGTTATTTTGACAGCCTGCTGTATGTCATTTTGTCAGTTCACACAGTTTCAGCTCTAACCATTATAATAGTTCTGATGAGTTAGTGTATATGCTCTATTGGGGCCAATTGTATGATAATGCAATGGTAAATGTAATTCTTTTGAGATTTTGCTGAGCAAATTATTTTTTATCTTTGACATTGCTTTGTTTTTTTGTTTTTTGGTTGAGTACATCTTTTAATTTTTAGTTTGACTATTCATGGAAATCAAGTGTGTGCTCAAAATGGGTATGAAAATTTGCTGTTGATTTGGCTCTATGAAAATTATTATTCAATTCTGTATGAAAATTAATGGGACCCTTAAAGCAGCATCTTTGCTGTTGATTGAGCTCTACATGTACTTATGATATTATTCTGATTAAGATATTTTTCCTATTTACTTACTTCTGTCTTATGTTTTGCATGAATAGCCTGTCAGGCCATCAACTGGTGGTTTTGGCCAGCAGGCCTACCGCCCACCCCGTGGTTCTGGTGCCCCACCACAATGGGGTCAACTGAGGTTCTCATTTTGGCCACCCGACAGCATATGATTATCAGGATCGCGGGCCATACCCTTCTCATAATCAACCATATGCAGCTCCAGCATATGGAAGCTATCCTCAACATATGGCTCCAAGAAGCAGCTTTGGTTCTGGTTGGGAGCAAAGGCCTCACCACAGCTTCCAGGGACCATCTCCACACAATGGTGGTTATGATTATTATGGAGGACAAGGGGGTCATTTATCTGATGCTCCACCATCAACCCAGCATCCCAGTTCAGTCCCCCAACATGGTACTGGTCCTTCCCCTGTACCTTCTATGGGCCCATCCCCAACTCAGATGAATTACAATTATGGACAACCACAAGGCCAGGATTATAGTCATCAGACACCTTATGCTCAGGCAGGATTTCCTCAACAAGGTTATGGACATGGATATGATGAATCAAAGTTTTTTCGAATTAACGTGTCGAAATAGTGTCATATCATGTCCCATTCGATGTTGGTGCAAGATAGATTGCAATTAAGTGGATATAAACGTTCTTGAAAAACTATCCCAAATACACATTAGAACTTTAGAAGCACGCTGCATTGCAATGTGTATGATATGAACACGTACTGTGTCTACTTTACTATGGGATGATAAAGCAGTTTAGTAGGATTAACAAGCAAGCATTTTTTAAATAAATCATAAATTTGGTGACCAATTCCTTTACATATAATTGGATTTGTATAAACAAAATTGATACATACAATATGCACTCATTTAAGTATGCAGTCCGATAAGCCTTGATCCAAACATAAATGAATTCTTACAGCTCCGGAATACGGAGAAATTTGTGTGTGAGAATCGAAATGGATGTCCTTAAAACACATAATCAAATGGGGTCTGCAGTATACATCTTATTTCTTAATGTATATATAAAAATTTGAGCAACTCAATATTCAATTCATTTTGAATTATGAATATCTGCGTCAAAATAGCGCTTAGTTGAAGGGTTAGTATTCTAATCGTTTTTGGACAAATCAACTTGTAATGAAGTTAACCCAGTGGTACCAGGGTTCCTAAGCTGATCAAGCTGCTTGTTGCCACGGCGAAGTAAGTACTCCATGTAGAGAAAGTTTTTCCGATCTACTTCCACGGAATTACGGCGAAACTCTTGTGATACTATTGACTCTATGTTGCGTCGTTCATCATCAGATTTGGAACGTGCTACTCGCAGAAACCCTCTGTACAAGCTAAGTACTTGCTTCTGCATCCCAGAAAGCCTTTGACCTCTGGAAGCTCCCATTGTGTCAAGTAATATACGAGTTTTCAGAGTGAATTCTGTACAAAAAAGAGTAACAATACTCATGAGTTCAAGAATTAACAATTGAAACCCTGCAAGTCATTTTATCAAACACTTTATAGGCAGTTTTTGCTCATTTTGATAATAGAATTAGTTACCTCAGAAGGAGCGAACCAATCTGAATTGCTTAGGATCGAAATCCAGGCAATGATGAAGATGAGATTTTGGTCTTCAAATCCAATTCATCTGACATTGATGATCCGTGTCTTGGAAGAACTGAAAAGTTAGGTTTTAGTTAGGTAGTTCGGCAAAGATCTGAAATGGGCTCAACAGATATAGAAGCATTTGGGCTAAGTTGAGTTTGGGTTTTGGTTCCCAATAGATAATCTGAAATGGAGCTTCATTTTTGAATATCGAGACAAGTTCCGTTATTTTCTTCATCTTATATTCAAATTGTTTTTGCCACTTGTCTATGCTATCACTAAACTAAAATGCATTTACTTGATTAGTGAGTTCTATGATTGCTGTTGTCTTGTGTAGGAGGGTCAAGGGTAGGGTTGGCAAAACAGGCCAACCCGACCCAACCCGCATTTGGCCCGAAAAAATCGAGCCGGGTTAGGATTGGCTCGAAAAAAAAAAAAAAACGAGCCAGAAAACCCAACCCAACCCGACCTGAGCCGGGTTAGGGTTGGCTCGAAAAAAACTCGCGAGCTGGCTTGAAAAATTGGATCGCAGGTTAGCTCGAAAAAATGCTTGTGGGTTGGCTCATTTTTGGCTCGCGGGTTGGCTCTGGGTTAGGAGCGGGTTAGCTCAAAAATTTGCATTACAGAGCAGTGTGTAATTTGGGCTGTACATGATGAATGATGCAGGAGGGTGAGGAGAATTCATTCAACAGAATTATATTATTAATAAAGAGCCTCATTATACCACTAATAACAGCCCCATTAAATCACCAATAAACATCCATAAATACCAATTACATTACTCATAACACCATTATTAAATACGACTTTTCAACCTTCTAACACAAGAAAGCAAAACAAAGAGACATTTCAACAGTAGCTTAGTTTTAATAATTCTTTTCCACATACACAGCTTTCCAAGATGAAGTCACCAATGCCTTGCCCTCTTTGAAATAAATAAATCTTGTATGGACTGAAACATGCCTAGCCATCAAAATCCAAACTGCACCCATAAAGTTTTCAAATTGAACAGATTCATTATATGGTAGCATAGTAACATAACTCAAGTAACTCAAATCAAGTTCATAGTCACATGACATGAGGTACTCTGACGAGGACAATTGGCTGTGAGCAATATGGTCATTGGGAATCACTTCCATAGGCTCATATTTGGTGGATACAAATAGTGAGAAGAAGAATTAGGTTCCAAAATTATCTCTGAATTTAAAGAGCTTTTGCATTTGTGATGGCCATAATATATTGTCCGATACAATGGATGAACAAAGTCTTGTAGCCTTCATTATTAGAAGATTACAGAAAAAAGAAGAAGATCTTTACATCAATACAAGTTCGAATCCCAACAACAGTATGAATATTACTAAGCAACGAATAATAATTTTCTTATTTTTTATTAATTCATTTTAACATTATTTTGGAGAAATCAAAGTTAGGTTTTTTAACAGCTCAGATCCTCATCAACTTTCATCTTCTCTGACTTTTCCTGCTAAAGGATTTTGTGCCGGTACAATCTATATCTTAAATCAAATGGGTTTTATTTTTTTTTATTATAATCGTTTGAAACATTTATGATGATATTATTCATAAACATTTATGAAACATTTATGTTTATGATGATATTAATTCATAAACAAACTAAGCAAACAGAAAGAGTAAGGAAATGGTGTCGCCTGGTTAGAAAAGAAGAAGAAAGGAAAAAAAAAACCTTCAAGTCGTCTCCGTCGGTGTGTGTTGCGGAAGACTGGAAGAGGAAGGAAATCGGTGGAAGAGATAAGTAGAGAATTGACGGTGAAAGGAAGAGAGAACGGTGGAAGGAAATCGGCGCCGTCGGTGTGGGTGGCAGTGGCAGGGTGGGGGACCTAGGGCTGGGAAGTGGGATGAGTCTGTGTGTGATGTGTTATCATTCTGTCGATTCTGTCCGCGTGAATCGATTTGTCATTTTTTTATTTTTTTAATTAAAAAAAAAACTAACCGGTGAACTGACTTGTTTAACCTGCACGTTGCTCGGGTCGGATTAGTAGTTCATTTTTGTCAATCCAACTCAGTTCATTTTTTACGGTTACGAGTTAACCCGACAGGTTGGCTCATTTTTGACACCTCTAGTCAAGGGGAAACAATTAAGTTCCTTGCGGACAACTATGTTGTGGTAACAATAAGGGGAAACAATTAAGTTCCTTGCGGACAACTATGTTGTGGTAACAATTAGGGTCACACGATCATTGCTGCAGAATAATGCATCCAGATTTCCTAGCCTTTTGATATTTTCATATGAAAAATAAAAATTGCAGCTTGTTTTGGAGAATCTAGTTCCAATTCATTGATGTTGGGTTCGTAATGTATTCATAATATCATTATGGCTAGCTAGCAGTAGTATTAAATGAGTCAATTCTTTTTCCTTTTTTTTTTTTTCTCAAAATATCCTCTAGCCAGCACGAAGATTAATTCTTTCAATGTGGGAGATTATCAAAGTGAATATACTTGTCCCAACAAAATCTTTTCCATACACACAGCTAAGAATCAAACCACTGTCAGCATACTTAAATGACCAAACTATTTACCAATTGTGCCCAACCTTGTTGGTAATCAATTCTTTCCTTGGGCAAAAACATAAATTCCTTAGTCTATAATCAAGAATCTCTCAAGGTCCGATAAAATAAAAACCGATGTTACCTTAGAACTTGATATAAACACAAATTGTAATGTTAAATTTCTCAAACTCAAAACACAAAAAGATCGGCTAATTTTTTTCAAACTCAATTTTTTTTTTTCTTAACATGAGCAAAAATGAAAAACTAAACAAGAGGCGTCTCCCTACTTCTTATCTTCCTTCTCAGCCTCAGCAGCTCTTTTCAACCTTGCACCCATGTGACGTTGGTTCGTCCTCTCTAGACGCAGTTTATAGTATGCCTTGAATAATTTCATCTCTTCAGTAACTTCCACAAGCTCCACGGATGGCTTTTCGCATACAATGGGCATGTACATACCCTGCACCTGTGTTGCTGTAGCTAGCTCCTCTGGAGCAGAATCACCATCCTGCAGCAAAGGGAAGGAGAAAATTTATATGCTTATTTCCAAGAGATTACCATCATTCCATCAATGTACTTCAATTAATCATTCTCACCTTAAGTTTCCTAGCACGTCTTGGGAAGACAACTAACTTAGCCTTGTATGTCTTCAGCCTCTGAGCATTAGCCTGAAGACTCTCCAAAGAAGGGTTCTTCCGGCGATGATCAACAGCAATCCCTATAGTCCTTGCAACTTTCTTTGGAATGCCAGCCACCTGAAATACAGAGTAATCGATTCAAAAAGCTTACAAGGTTTGAGCAAAATGCAAAGGCCAATAACAAGACGACCAACAACTAAATGCTTCCATCAATAGAAAAAACCAATTACTTTGTTATCTCCCCAGCTTTTGATTTTAACCTTAAGAGGAGGGGTTAACATAAGATACATACACTTCTGAAACACAGCACTTTTTCAGGATAAGCAATAAATTTTATTCTAATGTAACTATGAATTAAGTAACTTTTTCGTGGCATCTAAACCATTGCACACAAGTGACAACTGGAAAAAGCAAACAAATATTGGAAATGTTCATATCTTCATTAAACCACAATTCAACAAGAAATTAGCATTTTAGTAAAATATGAAGCAACACACCTTCAATTCTTCCAAAGAGAAGCCCCTGCCAGCCCTCACTTTCATATTATATTTCAGAGTCTGCCCATGAACAATAGGACGGAGAGGCCCAGCAGTTGGACGAGGGAAGATTTTCACAGCTTTCTTCTGTCTTGCTGGTAATTTTTGTTATTTTTTTTAGAAGTACAGAAAAAATTAAGTAAGATAGCTAACACTTTGAAAAAAAAAATTAATAAAATTGCTTTTACATTTGACAGGAACACATTCAAGAATCCTAAGGGACAAAAAGGAAAAATCAAAGGGAATGAAAAGTAGTATTGTTACCAATTCTTCTACGGGTTTTCCTGGCAGGTTGATTAAACCATGTCTTGACATAGTTCTGCCAGTGTTTCCGGAAGTGCCCATTTGGGATAACATTGTTGTGTTTAACCATTTCTTATCTGCATAATTAGTGGCATCAACAGACACAACAAAGATTAATTATAATTAGATCATAGTTCAGTTACCCTAATAACATCTATACTCTTCTTTATTAAAAAGTACAGAACTTATTGAACTTTTAAATACATAAAAAAAAAAAAAGAGTACAGAACTCGATTGTAGTTAACTAGTTATGGCACATCAAATACATAATCACAATAATATCATCCCACTGCAACTTTTAAACATAACACCCTCTTCCTAAATAACAAAACTAAAAAAATAAATATGATATTAAGATTCAAAAGAAAACTTATCAAATTGAACAAATCAAAGATGTGAATGACAGAAAAGTGAAACTTACGAGTAGGAGCGGCTCGGTGAGCCACTTTCTGCGTCAGTGCAAAACTGCTACGTTAGGGTTTACCATGGCTATTATAAGTAAATTAACATCCAAAACCATAAACGGGTTAAGGTTCGGGTCGGGTCGGGTAACAACAGGGGCTTTTATAATTGGGTTCTTCAACAAAACAAAATTAAATTAAAAAAATTAAAATAGTCCATGCCCTTTTGTTATACTTCATTATTTTTTCTTCTGACAAAAATAATGTATACTTTTTTTTGTGCTGTCTTGAATTATCAGATAATAATTTAATCAATTTTTAATAATTCAAATTCAAATTATTCACATTTTACACTTTTTAATACCAGAAAATATTTATGTAACAGGAATCATCCTAAATCAATTTATATATAATATAAACAATTTTCTACTACGATTGTGACATGTAACTTTTTTAAATCTTTATTTTTAATTTTTTTAATTTTTTTTATCGACGCTCAAGTGAGCCACTCGCATATGATAAAAATGCAGGAACGAAGATACATATTTTGTAACGTCTGGCAACACTTGCAAGGATCAACGACTGTCCCCACACACTAACACGAGATTTTTCAGCGTGTTTTGTCCTCACTCGCACACTTACCGGGAAAACTTCACAGGAGGTCACCCATCCCAGAATTTCTCCAAGTCAAGCACGCTTAACTATGAAGTTCTTCCGTTTCGGGCTACCGAAAAGTAGATGCATCTTGTTAGTATAGGTAGTACCAATTAATTCTTATAAGTCATTCCCAACTATACAGTCCCATACCAGCTCAGTCTCTAGAATCCCTCTCTTTCGGGTGTTGATTCGATTCATTCATGTACCCCCGTCGCTGGAAGCTTGCCAGGAGCCGCTCCTTGTCCATGTCCTTTCGCACCAGCGATCACTCCCCGCCCTCGTCAGCGCCCGGGATGTTACATATTTGATCGTGAAAATCGATTAACATGAAAATAATTGTTGCTCATCCTCCTTGTTAATAGTTTGTAAAAGTTTCATTTCTCTTTTAATACGCTATTAAGATTGATCTAGGGTGGGGAATTTTGATAGCTTGCATATAAAAAATAAAATTGCCTTCTAAATAAGAATGAAGAAGAAAAGTGAATGAATGAATTAGTAGTTTCATATTTGGGGACTAAATAGAAAAGTAACAGTTGTGCTAATTCATGTTAAACGAAGATGATTTCATTCTCAAACCCTGAGTTAGAAATCAGTTCTTTGGGTTCATAAACTTTATATAGTGTTTGGCATTACATTGTTTTTTTTGCACCAATTGGTATGAAAGTCTTTTGTATATCTTGTTGAGACATCAAAGATCTTCGAATATATTTCATCCTCCTAATTTTCTTGATCTTCCTCAACAGTTTGGGGTCAACAATTTTCTTTGTTTTTTCCAATTTCTCTTTCCTTCCATCAGTATAAGCTTGAATAGCTTTAACTCTCTTATCATCAGGTAATAGAGCCAATCTTGAAAATTTCCTGGGACTCACTATTCCCAGTCTCTCAGTAATGTCCTTGAAAGCTGGAACAAGGCCACGCCTTATAAAGCATCCTTCCACAAGCTGCATTGAGTTTGATTCAGGGAGACTTGGGGAATCTTTTAACTCAAGATCCAAGCAAAATGGAGAGTCTTTTAACCACATCCTGAGGGAGTGAGCCTTAGCCACAAGGACACCATTTCGTGTCTTACAAGGAAGAAAAGGCGATCCCATTTCCCAAAGGCATGCCTTCAATGTGCTATCAAGTGATACCATGTTGTATTCTGCTGTTCCTGTTATAAGTACAACTGATTTTGGTGACTCTGGATGTCCCTCCAGGGATGCATCCTGCCATGAAATCCAAGTCCCAATGTTAAAGTCAAAGACAAGCTAGAGCTAATTATATGATGAAAAATTTCTTTGTTAGCAATGCACCAAATTTCATGAACCAAATCCAGCCAAACTGATTTGCACCCAAGTTTTAATATATTAAAAATAAAACTGAAAATTAAAAATTTAGAAAATAAAATAAAATATTCAAGTATGCAAGTAACAGGTCATAAATGCATACCTGAGTCTGAGTGATCTTTGCAGATTTAGAATAATATAATGCTATTCATTTGATATAACAAGCAATTTTCATGTCAACTACTAAGAAAGACTTCCTAAGCATACAAATGCAAATGCTGAAGCCATTCTAGTGATACATTCTAATTATACAGAGATTGTACATTAAAGATTGACAATTAAGCTATAAGGTGAAGGCATGTGCATGATTTTACATCTCTAGGAAAGGAAGTGCAAGATTCTAGCTATGGCTATGTGAGAAAGTGCAGGGGAGAAAGCAGGACAGATGAGATATTCCAGCTGTAAATTGTAGATATGACCTGAACCTATGCTTGGTTAATTGATAAAGGGGAACATGATAAGAACAAATGCTTAGAACATAATTGTGCCTTCCAGTCCAGTAATGATCAGAAATTGCAAAAATATCATTTGATAAAATCCAGAGGAAGACCCATTTTCATATTTTACCATGAATCAAGTCAACTAACAATTCTGGAACTAGTTACTTCCTTAATATTTAGAACATTCGGCTGCCATCCTTAAACCTTGTCCGTTTACTAGTTGACTAATTTTCCGTGGCATCCTAAAGCAAATTAGAAATGAAAAACCATACACAATTTAGAAAGTAAATTAGAAGGGAAATAGAACTAACCTGCATGTGGTCAAGCCATAAAGTAAGACCAACAAGAGCTGAACCCGCAGATAGTTTTCTAAAATCAGCCCCCCAGTCCTTCTCAGCAACTCTGCAGTTAATAGATACAGGCAATAAGCAACCTAACAGAGCCGGTAACACTATGATTGAAAATTGTTATAAAGAGATAAGTTATGTGTCGGCAGTTTACAACTTCAACAAAAGTGTATCACAGTCAAGAACAATGGAAAAGGACCTATAATACCTACCTAAATATATCATGACGATAAATGTTTCTCTTGATTGCCAATTGGAAAACCCATGATGCAGAGGCCCGGAGTTCAAATGCCCACAAGAGATCCACCAAAGCATTGACAAAGTTAAAGGCTGCATTATCTTCCACATTTTCTAGTCTATCAAGACATTGGTCAACCTCTGAAACCAGTGACTCAGATTTTTCTCTTAGAAGCCTGTAGAACAATTAGTACACATTAACTGGACGCATATGAAAAAGCAAACCTTTGCTGCATCGTCTTAGCAATTAAAAAAAAAACTAATCTTTTGCATAACGAACAAAAATGAAAAGAGCTAATCAGTACCTGATTGGAAGATCAAATCCAGCACCTTGGAGTGCATTTAAAAGATTAAGGGCTTCACTTGCTCCTTCACACAAGCTAGCAGCTCTGATAAAGCAGGTCCATATTCGATGGTCTGGTTCTATGGCTGCTTCCTTCATCTCTGCGAGCTTTTCAATTCCAGCTTTATAATCTCCTTTTCTGAGATATGCATCAATAACAGAGCTATAAGGTAGAGTATCCAGAACCAGTCCAGTTGTTTTCAAGTTTTGAAGGACTTTCTCAGCTTCCTCAGGCAGCCCAGATTGGCCATAAGAAACCATAAGCAAATGCATCGTGGCAAGAGTGGGTTCTACCCCTGCTTCTTTCATCATGGCCAGTAGATTTTCAGCTTTCTGATGATCCCCCGAAGTTCTATACATTTTCATCATTAAATGATAAAAGGAGCGGTCCAGTTTATAGCCATTTGATCTAAGCTCTTCAAAAAGTTCCTCAGCCTGTTCATACAGTTGTTGCTTACCAAATGCTGCAATCAAGCTTCTGTATGTGTCTGGCTTAGGTTCTAGATCAAGTCTTGTCATTTCATGCATCAGTGACAAACCTTCTTCCGGTCTATGGTCTCTGCAGTACATTATAATTAATGTATTGTAAGTTTCCTCGTCTGGTTTAAGACCGGCATCTTGAATCTTACGGTAAATGATACCCATCTTTTTAAAATCTTCAATGCCTGAATATAATTTAAGTATAGAATTGCAAATTCGAAGATCGGGCTTAAATCCTTCCTCTTCCATCTCACATAACATAAATTCTACATCCCTAACTCTCTTGAATTTGCACAGCAATCCAATCATAATTCTGTAAAGATGCATGGTAGGAAAATAACCAGCAGCTTTCATTCCGTGGTAAACTTTCTGCACTTCAAATAAGTTTCCTGCCTGAGCAAATGCTTCAAGCATCAAAAGAATAGAACTTTTACTGATCTTGAACCCCATGTCTTGCAACTCCTGCATTACCACATAAAGCTCATTCAGTCTCCCATCAACAATTAAAGCTTGTAATAGACCGTTTATGGAATCTACAGTTGGGGAAGGACCATCTCTCATCATTGTATTAAAAATAGCTCTAGCTCTCTCATAACAACCACTGAATGCATAAGCATGTATTAAAGCATTCCAGACCTTTCTATCCACCTTTGAACATCTTTGCCTCAAAATCCCCACTAAACTTTCTGCCTTCTGCCATATCTTTAACTTCCCATATGTTTCAATTATATCAATATAAAAAGATGCATCGTCAAGTATAATGCCAATTTTCTCTGCATGATACAACAAATGGTGGGCTGTCTCAGGTAAGCATATTCTACAGTAGACAGACACCATGCCCTGGTACAGACATTCAGATGGCTCAACACCATTGAATCTCATGTCAGAGAAAATCTGAGAAGCTACGTCAAAGAGTTCATTCTGTATGCATTCTTGAATAAGAGATTCATACATAGTACAACTTCTAAATGAACCAAGTCCTCCTTTACTTCTGTATTCCTCCAAGGCTGCATCTAACTTTTTAGCCTTGCAAAGTATAATGATGAGTGCTTCGGTGATCATTTGAATATCATCTGGAGCATGTTCTCTCAAGAATTCAAGAAGTTCACATGCCTCTGAATATCTAGCAGATGAGCTATACGAACTAATAATAGATAAAAAATTCTCATGATCCAATTCATAGCCATTGCTGATGGCAACTTTCAACATTTTAGCAGCAAGATCATAACATCCCCCTTTAACAAGAACCGATGAAATAACTTGTGGATTCATACCTCTCAGTTCTTCCATATCTCTGACAGTTCTTTCAACAACATCCCACATGTTTTCCCTCACAAGTGCATTTAGCATGACCTCATATAGACCATTATCAGGTGTGAAGCCATTGCGAATCATTTCCTTATACAACATCATAGCCTTTTTCATCTCATTGAATCTCAGAAAGAAATCTAACATAACCGAGTATGCTAGACAATCAGCTTTGATCCCTGATCTACGCATGAGATTGAATGTCTCTTCAGCCTCTGCTCGCTTTCCGACCTTTACATAAGCACAAATTAAAGCACTATATGTGTGCAAACTGGGCTTAACTCCTGCATCCAACATTTCTGACATCACATTTGTGACTTCCTCAATCTTACTTGCTTTCCCAAGTGAATCTATCAAAACAGTATATGTAATTGCATCAGGATTCCTGCCAGATGATTTCATGTCTCTGTAAAGCTGCAATGCCTGGTCATGCCGACCTTGCTTTCCATACATGTGTATGATAGTGTTGTATGTCATCTCATCCTTGCCAAACCCCATTTTCACCATTTCTTCACAAATATCCCTTACCTTTTCCGTATTTCCTGCTTTTGAAAAAGCATTCAATAAAGAATTATACGTTACTGCATCAGGGAAAAACCCTTTAGACTCCAATTCTTTAAACAGATGCTCGGCTTTCATAGAAAGCCCACATCTACCGAATACCGAAATCATAGCATTGTAAGTCCATAAATCAGGTTGACAATGGTGGTCCTCCATATCATGAAAAATCGCAATTGCTTCCTCCAAATTAGACTCTCTTGAACAAGCACTTATAAGGGTATTATAAGTTATTATATCGGGTGTAAGACCTGACCTCCTCACTTCATTTAAAAGTTGGATACCTAAATTAGGCACCATTGCTCCAGACTTCAATCGTGCATTAATCAAAGTATTGAAACTCACCAGGTCAGGCTCACATCCTCTTTCACGCATTAAATCAAGCAGCTCTTTGACCTTGTTGAAGCGACCATTCCGTGCATAAACACCCATCATGGAGTTGTACACTTGAACTGTATCCCCTATGGATGACTCAGCCCTTGTGAAGATTTCAACAGCTAGTGCTTCTTGATTAGCTTTTCCCAACACACCCAAGATAGTGGCAAGCATCCTTGCATTTGGTGAGTACCAGTGCTTCAAATTCAAGCATTCATAGAGCTCAAGCGCACGATGCCAGTTGTTTTGACCCACCCATTTGACCACAAAGCAAAAATCAGTTGGTGTCATCTGAACTTTGCGTTCATCCAACACATCAGCCACAAACTCCTCTGATTTCAACCCCAGAATCCTATCCGTCAAATACTTCACTCTTTCCCTCCAATTCTTGTCTCTTTTCAGTGCCAATTTGTTCATCTTTTTCACCCGTGTCTTGCTTGGCCTACCCAATGCTTCCTGGGTTTCATCATTCACAACGCAATCTGGTTTATGGGTTTCATCTGTGGCCTCAGAAGGTGGAGTCTTTGCGGTGAAAACATCATTTTCTTCCAACTGGGTCTGCGTAGAAGGGTACAACATTTCAGAGAGTTTCAAGTGGGGCCATCTGATTGAAGGTGATGCTCTGCTATACGTAAACTTGACATTCTTAACGGTAATGGATTCTGGAGAGGAATCAGTATCATGGATAGTAGTAGAAGCTGAAGAGGAAGGAAGAGAAGCGTGTGTAGGTGAAGGTGAAGAAGGGTTTGAGTCTGGTCGCTGAATTGAGGAAATGGATGTAAAACTCAGCAATCCTGAGCCTAAGACAAACACAGACATGGTTTGCACATTTATGGTTTAACTTGTGTCTCACAAAGCAAGTTCACAATTTGGCGGCGAGGTGTATCTGTTGCAAATTTGCAATTGCAAGTCATAATTTCGGGTTATGTTAAATACAACATTTATCATTTGATGTTATGAGTGTGGTTTCAGAAAGGAAAAGGTTGAAGAAAGAGAAAAGAGAAGAAGAGTGTATAGAAGAAAGTGGGATGGAGGATTGTGGATAGATAGGATATTTTGCTTGGCGGGATTCAACTCAAGGGAGATCCTATTTCCTTTTATTATCGGTAACTTATATATTTATTGAAATTATAACATTTAGCCTTTTTTTCGAAAAATAAAATAAAATCTCAAATTACATTTTGATCGAATTATAACTTGAATTATAACTTATTTGACTATCACTTGATATATATATATATATATATATATATATATATATATATATATATATATATATATATATATATATATATATATATATATATATATATATATTGATGTATAGGATTGCATAAGGCCTGATAATATAAGACTTGATTAAATTTTAATATTATTCAACATTTGGTATGGTATCGTATAAGATAATATCCTCTAATATTTTAAAAATTAATATATTAAAAAAATTAATATATTAATATTGAAATAATATATTAGTTCTTGAGAATTGTACTTGTAAGCAATATTAATAGATTAATCTCTTATCAGACCTAGTCTCATCCCCTTAAGCTATACAATGGTCACATCAAATAATTAAAAAAAATCATAACGTATAGTATAAACTTTATAGATACGTCACACCAAACACATCCTAAATTTGACCATTAGAGGATAGTATAACTAACAAGTTAAGTCATAAAATTTTACTCTTGTTGATAAAACTATGATTGCATATTGTCAAACAAATTTTCTCCTAAAAAAGATTGTCATTCAAGAGATTATTTAACAAGGTAAAATGTTTTGCTCATGGTTACAACGACAACGGATTGCAAATTCAAGTAAATATTAAGTAAAAGAATGTTATTAACATTTATTTTGAACACTTTTTGATAACATTTTTGGTTAATGAATCATGTTTCTTATTTAAGCAGGATCTTACCATCCGGTTCAAAACAGGTCGGTCCAAGCCGGTTCGGGCATTGTACACTCCGTCTGGTATAGCCTGGTAACCGAGTCAACTGCTGGCAGCTCCTTATTTTCTGACCAGAAACTCAAATTGCTTTGAAGATAACGGCAAACATTCAACCCATAGTTTTTTTTTTTTCATTCGCTCTTTTGTTTTTGCTTCTTTTTTCTCATTATTTATATGAAAATATGATTACCTTTGAATTGTGATGATTGTTTGCAACAGAAACAACACAAGGTGCTGCACAGTAGTAACATGGATATACACTCCGTTTTGTGGTTTAAGCAAATTTCATTAGCATACAATCATGGTGGCGCTCTTTTCTGCTTATCTCGTGCAACTGGTATCAAACGTAGTAAAAAACCCAACTTTCTTAATTCCTCAAATCGCTTGATTCGAAACAAGGGTGTTAAAGAAGTGGGTTCAGAATTTGATACCAAAAAAGTGCTTTTTAAGTGCCCTGATGATCCTAGATTTGGGGAAGAACTTCCCAGTGAAATGTACAGCCAATTAATTAGCCAATGTTGCAAAGAGGGAGACTTGGATAAAGCTCTGTCACTTCTTGCTCAAATGGAAGCTAAGGGGTTTAAGCTTGGTTCATTATCTTATACCTATCTGATTGAAGCCCTTGGAATTGTTGGAAGGACTTCAGAGGCTGATATGTTGTTTAAGGAAATGATTTGTTATGGGTGTAAACCCAGATTGACTTTGTACAACATTTTGCTCAGAGGGTTCTTGAAGAAAGGTCTGTTAGGACTTGCAAATGAGCTATTGCAGGAAATGGATGATTCTGGCATATGGAGGAGTCAAGAAACATATGAGATCTTTCTGGATTACTATGTTAGTGCAGGAAGGTTGGAAGATACTTGGTCAACAATCAATGAGATGAAACGAAAGGGGTTTCCACTTAACTCATTTGTGTATAGCAAGGTTGTTGGGCTTTATAGGGACAATGGGATGTGGAAGAAAGCAATAAAGATTCTGGATGAGATCAGAGAGAGGGGAATTTCTTTAGACTCGCATATTTATAACAGTCTTATTGATACATTTGGCAAGTATGGTGAATTAGGTGAAGCATTGAATTTGTTTAAGAAAATGCAAAAAGAAGGTGTAAGGCCTAATATTGTGACATGGAATTCCCTGATTAAGTGGCACTGCAAAGAGGGTGATATCACCAAAGCCCTTCATTTGTTTACTGATATGCAAGAGCAAGGATTATATCCTGACCCGAAGATCTTTGTCACCATTATTAGCTGCTTGGGGGAGCAGGGAAAGTGGGATATAATAAAGAAATATTTTGAAAGCATGAGGCGCAGGGGAAATAAAAAATATGGGGCTGTTTATGCTGTTTTGGTTGATATTTATGGACAATATGGGAAATTTCAGAATGCTGGGGAGTGTGTACAAGCACTAAAGTCCGAAGGTCTGCTACTTTCACCGAGCATTTTTTGTGTGTTAGCAAATGCTTATGCTCAGCAGGTATTCTACCTCCTTTCTCTTGTTCCTTTTGTTCTAACCTTCTTCTTGGCTATAACTATTTATCTAAGAAGCACAAATACTACAAAATAGTTGATGTACTGGTATCTTCATCTTGTGTCTTATTTGAATTCTGGTACCATGGACAATATTTATGTGGCCTGCTGTATACAGTATACACGTATTCATATTATATCAGGTATGATATTGATACGTGTACCTGTGCTAATTTAGACTTTTTATACGATATTTTTTTATGCTCCATTGATATATATCAAGATTAATAACCAACAATGTTGATACTATACTAAATTAATTTTTGAAGTGTTAAACCTTTTTTGGGATCGTTTAGGAAGAGTAACGTTGTAACTCTTGGGATGGGATATATAGAGAATGACATATCATTAAATTTCTCTCTCTTTTTTTCCCATATTTTTTTGGGCCACAATCTAACAACCTTAATGGAAAAAACTAAATTGTTAAATTTGTAGCTTAAAAGAAAGGAGGAAAAAAAAGAGAAGTAAGAAAGGAGGGGAAAAAAGAGAAGTATGCTTACTTGCTTTTCTTCTATTTGAGTAAATACCCTTTTTGGTCCTCAGCAAATTTCACGATGCCCACTTTAGTCCCTAGCAAATAAAAAGGCTATTCGTGGTCCTAAGAAATTCAAAATGGACCCATTTAGTTAAAATCGTGATCCCTCACAAATTCAAAAAAGACCCATATTAGTCCCTCAAAAGAACTAAAATGGGTCCACTTTGAATTTCCTAGGGACCACGAATAGTCTTTTTATTTGCTAGAGATTAAAGCAAATATTGTAAAATTTGCTGAGGACCGAAAAAGATATTTACTCTTAAGATTACAAGTGTTCGGCACAACTGATTTGATTTCTGGTCAGGGCTTATGTGAACAGGCCATCAGGGTGCTGCAGATCATGGAAGCGGAGGGAATCGAACCAAATATTGTTATGCTCAATATGTTAATCAATGCATTTGGTAATGCTGGGAGATATATGGAAGCAATATCTGTTTATCATCATATAAAAGAAAGTGTAAGCATTACTAGCTAGCAGTAGAAATATTAGCAGTATGTTTTTTTAATGCAATATTTCTTTAACAATCTCTGATGGAATTGCTATAACTTTATGAAGGGAGTTAGCCCTGATGTGGTCACCTACACTACGCTTATGAAGGCATTTATACGGGCCAAAAAGTTCGATGAGGTGCTGTAAATTCTTCAATTATTTTTTTTGTCTTTTTCTTTGTAACAAATGGAAGAAACACAGGCTGTAAGATCTAGTTGCCTAATTCATGCTGATAATATTATGGTCAGGTTCCCATTATTTACAAGGAAATGGAGTCTGATGGATGCACTCCTGATAGAAAAGCTCGACAGATGTTACAAGCTGCATTATCGGTGCTTGAACGAAGGAACTTTGGAAACAAATATATTTAACCAAGGGATTGGAACTGTGGAAGCCATTCACTGGTTCATGATTATCTGGAATTTGAACGAGCATTGCTAAATCCATGGTGAGCTTTGTACTGATTTTGTTATTGGATGTGATGATATGTACTGGATTAGCTGGAGACCGGTTTGTAGAAACAAGAATTGAGGTCTTCAACAATGTCCTCCCTTGCTGATGAAACAGGGATGACAGTTGATGCAGAATGAGATCCCTCATGTCTAGAGTGTTGAAAGTGCAGTACTTTTTATTTATGTCATTTCTATAACTTAAGGAGGGCAGTGTCCATCATGGGTGTGGCAGAGTCTCCTTGAAGGTTGAAAGGTGCTGGAAAATGGATTGAGATGGACATTTGGGGTTTGTAAAATGGTTGCTAATCTCATCCATTTACGAGACCATGTTTCCTTTCCTGGAGAAGTCCAAAGAAGGTTCTTCATGTGATATTATTGATCATGATATTAAAGAGTGGGATGTTATTAGCTGCAAAAGATGTAATGATGTGCCATCTTTGGCTAATTATTGGATGGGAATATGGGAATTGGCATCATAATTTACAGAGCAAGGAAAGTCTAAAGTTAGCTCAGGATAGCATCAACTGCTTTTTCTCACCATTAATGTTGAGAGATAGTTCACCCACACAAGGAAATACAGTAATCATGTCCAAGTTTTGTCTTCATGGAGAGTGGAGTGTTAGAGTTGTAAATTCAGCCTGTGGCATTTTTCTTATTTTTTGAAATTCACTATACATTATTTTGAGGAGTTTCTTCTTAGCCAGAAGTTGGTTGAAGACCATGAGTTTTTGTGGGGCTGTGGTCAGGGTGGTTGCATCCCCCAGTTGGGATGGTCAACATACAAATCATTACACATTACCCATTATTTAATCATGCAAAAAGTACTTGACAGAAAATACAAATCATATTTGAATGCATTCCTTTGTGGGGTTTGTATTTGTCATTTAACATGACACAAGAAAGTTTCCTACATACAACATTTTGTGGGGTTCACTTTTTGAAGAAAAAAAAAAAATTACGGCACGCAAAACGAATTTTTATAACATTACACAATTACTTTTCCTACAACATAACTCTTATAAAAACTTTTTTTATTCCACTTAAACTTTCTCTACCGGCATTATACTTTGAATGTCCTACCGGAAAAAAGCAACAATGTATTATAGAATATAAATATAGGATTCATTTTTTTGTCATGTAACATATCAAGAGTTTTTGACCTGCACACATAAATCAAGTGTGTGATTCACACTTAAAAAAAAAAATCAGGATCAGAACCGAATCCTTGTTACAAGAAGAAATAGTATCATTCCTACAACATGAGAAACTGATTTCCCATAAATATAAATAGTAAATTTTAGATAACCAAAAAAAAATAAAAAAAAAATAACTAGTCTACCTTTTTATTAGATTCTAACAATTGATTCAACCAAAGCATTTGGATTTTTTTCCCCATTTTTAAGTGACAATAGATTTATACATGAGTAGAGCTACTTTTTACCATGTATAGAGAAATAACATACAAATAAATATATATGTATTGCTTATTGAGTAATTGATTGATGATTAAAATTATCTACTTATACTAGCAAGGGTTGGTGGTGCGGTGTTCATCGGAGAGAATCAAAATTCAAAACCTGATGGCGATTAATATAATTGAATTAATCAACAAAGTTAATAATAAAAATAACATTTGAAAGAATTTTCATTAATTGCTTGTTAGTTGAATTATTGAACTAATTTATTTATCTACTCTAAATTAAAGTAAATTACCTTTTAACAAATTAAATTTAAATCTGACCAAAGAAATAAGTGATATTTATAAAAAAAGTAAAAGTATTTGTAATTTTAAATGATAGAATTTTATGTCATTTTTAATGAAATTGCGTTATTTTTGTGTGTATTTGATAATTTTTTAGATTCTCTCTCCTTCACTTTCTCTTTCTTCTTAATTAAAATCTAACAAATACATATCCAAACGACATAATTTCATAAAAAATAACATAAAATTATTTCATTTAAAATGACATAAAATTATTTTATTTAAAATCACAATCACTTTCCTCCCCAAAAATCCAACAAAAAGAGGTAAATGGTCTAATATTTTTCTTGGGATTCAACATGCAACCCAACAATCAGTGATGAAATAACTAACTATGCATACAAAGCCACAATGCCACTTGTAGTTGTGAGTGACTTCACTACGTTGATGCTACGCTCCACCAAGCTTGTGTGTTCTGTGTTCCTCAAACGTTGTTTGTTGCACAATCTTTGTACTTCAAGTTCACAACCAGAAACCATAGCCAGAAACATTGATGCACAGATACGTGCTCTTTCCATGCAAGGCAACCTTGAAGAAGCTCTTTCACTTCTTTACACCCACTCTTCTCTGTCCCTTCAAGCCTATGCCTCTTTTTTCCATGCTTGTGCTCAGAAAAAGTTCCTCCAACAAGGCATGGCCCTGCACCATTACATACTTGACAAATCCCCCACAATTCAAAATGACCTTTTTCTCACTAATCACCTCATAAATATGTACTGCAAGTGTGGCCACTTAGACTATGCTCGCTACCTGTTCGATCAAATGCAGCACAGAAATGTTGTTTCTTGGACTGCTCTCATTTCGGGATATGCCCAATCTGGCCTAATCAGAGAGTGTTTTTCTCTCTTCTCTGGCTTGTTGGCTCGCTTCCGCCCCAATGAATTTGCTTTTGCAAGTTTGATTAGCGCGTGTGAGGAGCATGACATTAGATGTGGCATGCAGGTACATGCAGTTGCTTTGAAAATTTCTTTGGATGCCAATTTATATGTTGCAAATGCTCTTATTACCATGTATAGCAAGTGCTCTGGTTCCAGTGGAGGTTATGATCAAACAGCAGATGATGCCTGGACCATGTTCAAGTCAATGGAGTTCCGAAATCTTATATCTTGGAATTCAATGATTGCAGGTTTTCAATTTCGTGGACTTGGGGACAAAGCCATTAGTCTGTTTACACATATGTACTGCAATGGAATTGGCTTTGACCGTGCCACACTACTTAGTGTCTTCTCTTCCTTGAATGAATGCGGTGCTTTTCATGACATTAACATACATCTCAGGAACTGTTTTCAATTGCACTGTCTCACTATTAAAAGCGGTCTTATTTCAGAAGTTGAAGTGATAACTACATTGGTAAAATCCTATGCTAATCTCGGAGGACACATTTCTGAATGTTATAGGCTCTTCCTTGATACAAGTGTCCAACAGGATATTGTGTCGTGGACTGCTATTATTACTGTGTTTGCAGAACGGGATCCTGAGCAGGCTTTCCTCCTTTTCTGTCAACTTCATCGTGAAAATTTTATGCCAGACTGGCATACGTTCTCAATTGCCTTGAAAGCTTGTGCATACTTTGTGACTGAGCAACATGCCCTGGCAGTTCACTCACAAGTAATTAAAAAAGGGTTTCAGGAAGATACAGTTCTTTCAAATGCCTTGATACATGCATATGCAAGGTGTGGCTCCTTAGCTTTGTCTGAACAAGTATTTGATGAAATGGGTTGCCGTGATTTGGTTTCTTGGAATTCAATGCTGAAGTCTTATGCCTTACACGGGCAAGCTAAAGATGCACTCGAGCTCTTCCAGCGAATGAATGTCCGTCCAGATTCTGCAACCTTCGTTGCGCTTCTCTCAGCTTGCAGTCATGCTGGACTTGTTGATGAAGGAGTGAAATTTTTCAACTCTATGTCTGATGATCACGGTATTGTTCCTCAACTAGATCACTATGCCTGCATGGTTGACCTATATGGACGAGCTGGACAGATATTTGAGGCTGAGGAGTTGATTGGTAAAATGCCAATGAAACCTGATTCTGTGATTTGGAGTTCATTACTTGGATCTTGCCGGAAGCATGGTGAGACTCGCTTGGCCAAATTAGCAGCTGATAAATTTAAAGAGTTGGAGCCCAAGAATTCATTGGGATATGTACAAATGTCAAACATATATTCTTCTGACGGTAGTTTTATTGAAGCTGGCCTGATTAGGAGGGAAATGAGAGAGTCTAAAGTAAGAAAAGAACCTGGATTAAGCTGGGTTGAGATTGGAAAGCAGGTTCATGAGTTTGCCTCTGGTGGTCAACAACATCCAGATAGGGGGGCCATTTTAAGCCGGCTTGAGATCTTGATTGGACAATTGAAAGAGATTGGCTATGTGCCAGAGATTAGCTTAGCCTTGTATGACACGGAAGTGGAGCACAAAGAAGATCAATTGTTTCATCACAGCGAGAAGATGGCATTAGCATTTGCTGTAATGAATGAAGGAAGTTTGCCTTGTGGTGGGAATGTCATTAAAATAATGAAGAATATCCGTATCTGTGTGGATTGCCATAACTTCATGAAATTAGCATCATATCTATTTCAGAAGGAGATTGTTGTGAGAGATTCAAATCGCTTTCACCATTTCAAATATCCAACATGCTCTTGTAATGACTACTGGTAACATAGCACTTGCATTCCCCCGATGTATGACAATTGGTAACACATACCTGCATTCCTCAACTAGATCACACTATGCCTGCAAGGTGGATCTTTTGGGTCAAGCTGCTTTAGTCGAGGAAGCACACAATTTTGCTAAATAGCAGTGCAATGCAATTGTATGGAGGACACTGTTAGCTGCTTGCTAAGTTCATGAATATATTGAAGTTGGAGATAAGGTATGAAAACATCTAACAACGTTTCTTCATTCAGAAGAAAATTATATTTATAAGGCTGAAATAATTACACAGTATGTTTGTTGAATATTAATTTTGAACTGAAGAATCACATAAATATCTCTTTAGATTGATATTTTGTTATATGTTTCCTATAACATTATAGATTTCAATAGTCATCCACACGGCATGCACATTTGCTTCTTCCATTGTTCAAATGTAAATATTGCAATAGAAAAAAAAATTAAATATTGTAAAATGCTTACACTCCGGACTTTTGTATGTTGTGCATTTCTATGGTTTAACCTCCTAATCTACAGAGTTTGGATTAACAGTTTGAAATTAGTATATAATTAATTACATTCTTTCTTTTAATGTTAAAAATAAAATTATTAACAGCTAAACCAAGTTCAAACGTTGATTGCCCAATTATGACTTGTTAATTACGAGTTATTATTCATTAGTTCTCTTTTGGTTCAACATCATCGCTTTTCTTCACATCCTATGGATTTTCCCAACTTTATTTATCACACCATACAATAAAGCCTCCGCTTTTCTCGTGCATTTTCCAGTCCTGTCCCTGTTGAGTACAGAAAAAAAGAAGAAGCAGAATCAACTTGGGAGGTTTCGTGAACTTCGATTATACCGAAGTTTTACATCGCAACCGTCAATAACGATGACATAGCTTTTATGTTGGTAAATCAATAATATAAATCTCAAACATAAACCCTGCTCCGGGAGAAGCAAATCACTGTGAAATTGCTAGTTGGAATGATCCCGATATGAACGATTCGAAAATACCATGGGATAAGTTGTTTCATATGTCTTGGCATTTAACATACTAAATTTCATGTACAACAGTATATTTGATATTCTACTAGTTTTCTCGAAGAGAATTAAGAGTAAAACTGAGAATTACGATCATCAGCATTATAGTGTAAGTACATTAACTTGTAGTGCGTAATTTTTAACGAGCCACAGGCTTAGTCAAGTTTGCAAATCTTCAAATCATACACAGTGGAGGGGGAAGGAGAGTAGCATTACTGCTTGGAATCTGACTGCATTGTCTGGACTGGTGGAGCTGTAACTACAGCCAGCTTCATGTCTGTAGTTTCACAATCCCCAGCTCTTTCACGTATCTCACGGTACTCTTGACAAATGGCACACAGATGACAGAAAAAATGGGTAACAAAATCCCCACAGGGTGCTTCCTTCATAGGACAAAAGAATATCATTATAGCATTGCATCGTCACAATTTTTTATTTTTTATGAAATAATAAATTTTAGATTGGGCAATTCATACAAAATAAATACAAAAAAATCTCTATTATAGGCAAATTAACAAGAAAATATAGATTATTATGACACACAAGGAACAATTATGTAACCAGGAAAATATTTTACGTGAAACCCTGTTAAGCAGTGTTTCACAGTACCAGAAGTATTCTTAAGAGAAACATGCCTTTCGAAATCGAAAATTGCCCCTGCTCTGCCAGGAAGTACTTTGAAATATGAATAAATAGCATGTCGTAAAAGTATGTTGGACTTTTCTCCTAGATAAGCTCATTTCTTGATCTGGAATGCAAGGACATATGGACCAGTGGAATAACATCCATCAATCTGCCTTATCTACTTCTACCACAATACAGATATCATTTCTTTCATTTTTATCTCATTTAAATTTTAGATACATTTTGAATTCACTGTCTCTAATTATGTGTTGGGGTTGCCGCTTGCGGTTTCTAGGAAGTGAAGAGAGCGCTAGCTGCTGGGGATTTCTTGCTCTTTCCATATTAGCATATCTAAACAGTTCTTTTATCCATTAAAAATCTAAGTGCCTAAAGTCTTGTGCTTCAAATTCAAAGACTGATTAACTTGCAGTACTATTTAATATTTTACTTAAATTTCATCAACCAGTCTCTCAAAAAGCCACACTACAGTTGCTAAATACAAAACTTATATTAGAGGTCTGGGGACTACGCAGAATCATCAAAAGTTTAAAGGAAAATAGAAGGAAAAATCATGTTATTAAGTTCATGCAAAGCATAGTCGTAATATTATTACCGGCAAATTATACTTTGACCTTAAGGTCCTGCGGTAGCCACAAGCATAACATGAAACCAGGCATCCAGGTAATCCAAAAAACAAGCCATCAGTTAATAAGCAGCAGGCTGTATTAACCAGACTCCACAATATAAAATGGGTCACACATGATCCCAGGAAAGTTCCAGAACCCAGAAATTCTGCATTCTTCCCAAAGACAAAGCAAGGACAAAGACAACCTATACAACCTGCACCAATGATGAAAGTTTGCAGCTCATATTTTCAGTTGATAAATTACATATCATAAAAGAACAAAACGGGAGCTTTTTGTGACATAGAGAGGGTAAACAAAACAAGAGCTTTCTGTAACACTACAATTTAAATGTTTGAATTAACAAGATCTTTAATTAAAGAGTTATTTTACTAATTAAGGTGCCGAATGTTGACACATTTTGTTTTCTCCATGCCCTTATTATTGTATGTACATTAAATAACAATGTCGTGAAATAGGAAAAAAGTCATTAAAAGATTATTCAAGTCACCATCCATAAATAAGTTCAATGAGTCAAAAGTTCACATAATTAATAATGTTTAACGGAGGCAACGCAACAAACACAAGATAGAGGCTAAAATCAATAAAAAAGAAAGAAAAGAATGATTAAAATTAAGAGCTTTTCCACATTGTTTCCCTTGCAGCTGTTCTTAATTTCTCAGTTCGTTGTATGATTTTTGTGATATAATCCCTCAATCTCACTAGCACAATCAGAAGCAAATCAACAATAAGCCCTAACCTTCTATCTTATGCAATCAACATCAACAACACCTTTATTCCAAATTAATTGGGGTCGGTTCTATCTTATGCAATCAACCAAAAAAATTAAGATCTTGATTCAGAATTAAGTTTAAATGATCTCTTTATTGTTGTATTAAAATATATCCCTTCAACCTCCTTGAGAATTCCTTATGACTGTGTTTTCTGCATTTGGTCAAAATTTTCAACAATTTGGGTTGAATATATTGATAAGTTGTAGTTCAACTGACATTCCTAAAGAAATAACGTAAAAAATCATCCCATATTGATAGAAAATGAAATCATAATGGTGCAGTGTAAAATACTGCTTTCGGGGTTTTAAAGCCAGACTCCACATGCTTTTTACCAAAAAGAGTTTTATCATAAACATAAAGAGAAATTTCCATTATCTAGAACACTGAAAACGAAAATTGAACAAAAGGATTTTAACAAAACTGAATATGATATAATGTTAGAAACCTAAAAATAGCATTTTGATCTGTGTTACAGTACAGCAATGATCCTTTCATTTTTGTTATTGAAAAAAGGGGACGACGATGCAATAAAGTTTCTATTATGTGCAAGGACTGAGGAAGGGTTGGATCCACTAGGTTGGGTCTATGGGCATTTGCAAGAGACTAATTCCATGACTACAACCAGTGACCTTTGGGTCACATAGTGAGGATTCCATTTTGTTTTTGTTATTAAGATATAAAATAGAAGGAACTCATTAATATTTAAAAGGGAAATACTTAACATGATTAGGATTCAAAGAACAAGGACACAACCAAGTTTCCTTAAACATAGTCAAGAGGCACCTTTGTATTAAATGAAGGTCACAGGGTAAGGAAGTAGCATACAGCTCTGCATATCATCGCAACAAGCACATATTCCAGAAGACCACTGAGCCTGCATTTGGTTTGATCCATCGCCACTAGGTTGTTGTACAGTGCGCTGAGGCAGATAGACATTCACTGCCTCTGAATCTGACTGCCCCAAAGGGATATAAGCAGGTGGCACATAACCATGTTGATTCTTCATATTGCTTCTACAAGAAACAATTAATTAAATTTCTTCCTCTAAAAGCAAAATTTATCAAAAACCGATAAATCGAGCTTATTTCCAATCAACCCAGCTGAAATTCAACTCACGCATGGAAATTCAAATCTTAATTATATTTGTTCAAAGATAAACAGAACCCAACCAATTATTTGTCATCATATATTTATAGCATCGCAACAAATGAACGAACATTCCAGATAACGCGAGAAACGGAAACCATCAAATTATGTGAAATCAGATCTGATCCAAATCTTCATTCTTACAAATTAGGTGAGAATTATAAATGAAGGGATGAATCGTAAATGAAGAAACAAATTAGGTTTACCTTGGAAGGTTAAGGAACGGCGATTTAGATGAATCAAGCAAGCAGAGAAATTAGAGGATAAAGTGACTTGCAATGAAATATGAAGAATTTGTTGGATCCAAATGTAGGTAGAAAATCCTAACTCCGTTCCTTTGTGTGAAACTTCTGGTTCGTATCTCCCGAAGACAAATTGAGAGAGATAACGGATGAGTCACTGTTCTCTCATGCGCTCCTTCGATGTTACTTTTTTCCCAAACATTGCGTTTAAAGGACTCTAAATTCCTATTTTTACTTCTAAAATTTATGGGTTTAATTTGTTGGGATAGAATATTATTAGTGTGAAATAATGTTATTATTAATGTGATTATCATATCTCAATCATTGATTTTTATTAATTAATGGTTATTATTTTCACAAATAAAATTTATTAATTAATTATTAATTTACAACAAATGATAACTGTCGATTGACGAAAATAATCGGTTAAGATATGATAATAATATTATTTGTGTTGTAACACTATTCTATCTCTGATTTTTTTATGAAAAAAGTGTGTATCATTTAAAGGATGTAAAGTTATGTCATTTTAAGTGAGAGAAAAAGATAGATAAAGGAGGAGAGAGAGTAAACAAAAAAAATATAAAAGTATGGGTCTCACCTCTTTATGAAAGTAAAAGAATATAAATATTATTTAAAAGCACAAATATTTTTTGTTTTATTTTTTACATTTTGTCCTAACACACTGTAAAAATGATTGGATCTCGTCTCAAAAAGCATAAAATTGATTGGATCTTTTTTTTAAAAAAAAAAAGAGAGGAAAAAGAAATTGATAAGAGCATACTCAATTTTATATAAGTATTACAAATAAATTATTTCTGCATCAAAACAGAAATAATTTTTCCAAACTTTATATTATAAAACTTGGGTAAATCTAATCGAATAATCGGTCGGCCAGAGGATATATAGCTATCTTACGTCTTTCCTTCCTTCACTTATGTATTGTTTTGTTTGAAGCATAGAAAAAGTGAATATGAACATAGAATTTAAATTAGATTCTTTTTATAAACTTAAATTTGATTTTGTTTTTTAGTTGTTAAGACATTTAACTTTGCTAATTGCATCAAGAATCCAATCACCTGCTCACTGGCGGACGCACTTGCGGCAAATACCCGCGAGTGCGTACATAAACTTTTTCATTTCAAACTTTTTTTTATTGTAAGTCTTTAATTGTCTCTTGGTTCAATATATATTAGGAGTAAATACTTTTTTAAGTTGCTAAAAAATTTAAATTTGATCAATTTAGTTAAAATCATGGTCCTTCAAAAATTCAAAAAAGACTTACATTAATCCCTCAAAAAGACCAAAATGGATCCACTTTAAATTTCATAGGGACCAGTGACTATTTTTTTTTTATAATGGACTAAAGTGGGGACCAAATTTTTTTTAAGGGACCAAGAAAGATATTTATTCTTATATTAGTTAGCAACGTACGGAAATGATTAAAGCAACGTAGCAACACAAATTGATTAGAGAGAAAACTTATTCTTCCTCCTCTGTCACGTATCCATTCCCATCATTTGTTTCCTTTTTTATTTTTATAAAAAGAGATGATTGATTGCAGGCCTGACATTCTCAAATAAGTTAATATCTAGAGACGAGACCTTCACTGTGATTTTGATTGCCTTCTGTACAAATAGCGTTGAATTTTTTATTCACCTCTATAAAGTATAATGATGATGTATGGATGTACTGAAGTATATTCTCATATTTATTTTGGAGGATTGATAAGATTTAGGAGGGAAATAATTGGTCAAACTATTGTCTGCAGCTTGTTATAGAAGCAACTAGATTATGAGCGAGTTCAAGCATTGATTTAAACTTTCCTTACACACACAAAAATTTCGAGGGCACTGCCCCCGAACCCCGCCACTAAATGTGCGGACATAAACAAAATTTTTCGGATCCGCCACTGCACTAGCTAATTTAGTTACGTTAAACCGATTCTAAACTTAACATTGTTTTTATGGACTAAATCAGTTGGTGTAATTTTATGTAAAATATTTCAAAATAGTGAGGTTCGAACTTGTGCTAATAATTTTTATTATTATTATACTTATTCTATATAATATATAGAGAGAGATACGATCATTTTGTGTAAGTGTGAGTTATATTATTAATTTTGATTATTTATATTTAATGACTCTATTTGTAACCTCCCAAGCGCTGACGAGGGTGGGAAGTGATCGTCAGTGCGAAAGGGCGTGAAGAAGAAACGGCTTCAAACAGGCTTCCAGCGGGGAGTTACATGATGAATCGAATCGACACCCGAAAGATAAGGATTCCAAAGACTGTGCAAGTATAAGTATAAGACTGCACAGTTTGGGATAGCTTATAAAAATTAATTAGTACTATTTATATTAACAAGATGCATCTACTTTTCGGTAGCCCGGTACGAATGTGGAAGGAAAAAAAATTATACAATGAAAACAAAAATATTTTTTTCAAATATAAAAATAACCTGCTGTTTACTCCAGGCACTCAAATGAGAGTGTTGAGTTTCCAAATAAGAAAAACAATACATTTTTAGAATTTAAATGTTCAAAAAACAAAAGGATTAATAAAATATTGTGTTCACTTTAATATTTAAGTAAATAAAATTTTGAACACTATGTATAAGTGAATTTAGCGGACCCCAACTAACTTGGGTTAATTGAAACTTGAAAGTAACATTAATCTTCGTCTATAAGTGAATTTAAAGAGAAAGAATCATCCCTTTTTTTTTTTGGTAAGCGAAAGAATCATCCTTTATCTACTATCTATTTTATTGATTTAGTATTTTGTTTATCTTGCAGAATTTTTTTTTTTTTTTTACCAAACTCACATAAAAGTTAAATGATTTTATTAATTTTTTTTCTCTCTCTTCTCTTCACAACGAGACCCATTTAATTTTACATAAATTTGGCACAGAAAAAATAAATCTCCCACAAAAACATGAATATTGTGTCCATATTTTGTTGCTTTTAATATGAAAACACGTTTAAATTTTTTAATATAAGAAGACATTATTTTAGTGAGTTTTTTTAGTAAAGAAGATAAAAGATGAACTCTAACTTACATCCAAACTAACCTAATCAACTTCAAGCCAAGCTAATTTTTTTATAAACTATTTGATATTTGACCGCTAATGGGCGGCGATTAATTCCGATCGAGTCACATGTAGAGCCACAAAAAACAACAAAGTTCTTCCTATATCAAGTTTTAATGGGAGTGGGTCATCTCATGTGCTAATTAACATGATCATGTCATGTGGAGCAATCATAACCATACATGAGTGGATGAATGATGATAAGGGAGGAGAGAAAAAAAAAATATAAAGATAGAAAGTTACAATCATCACCGTTGATTTAATTATTAATGGTTAAGATCTTTTCACATGACATGATCATGTTAGATTACACATGAGAGAATCCATTTCCAATTTTAATACAGTTACGTATCTATGACTCCAACTCAAAATCATTAATTAAGTTGAAATAACTCCCCACCAATTAATCCACATATTTATAGCTTATTTAGTTTAATAGAATATTTGTTCAAATGTCTATGTACGTATAATGTATGTATCTCCGTTCTTGCTTGCTGATATGGCTCACCTCCTACGTACTTGTGTGTACGCTTTTTCTAGATAAGTTTGGCAGTCATAGGAGCTAGTTAAATATATACCGGATTAAAACCTTCCGCGGTTGAGACTATATTTCTTTTCACTTTGATAACAAGGTTCAAGTATTTATATTATTATGCAATTCACATTACCTGTTAAATTATCTGGCAAGGGAAGTATTAGGCTTCCACGTAACTATACTGAAAATTCTGCTAATATATATGATGTCTTATAATAATTTTTTTATGATGTCACTTGAAATAATATTTTACACAAGTCACATGTTCAGATGAGGTAAAAGTAATTTACCTCATTTTAGTAAAATGGTTTTTCAATATGTATTATATAAAAACGGTTTTATAATTAGCAAACAATAGACTAGAAAACTGAATAAATTAATCGTGAGTAATAAAAAAATAAAAAAACACAAAGAGACTTATATGTACGATTTGCAACGTAGACCTTAAATTAATTCCAACAGGAAATTATAAAGCGCTGGAAAAAATTTATTGCGTGGAAATGTATACAGTACATATAGTAAAAGAATGAATAAAATAAAAACAAAAGTCACACGAAATTAATCATTGGAATACAAATAAAGTAAAATAAAATAAAATGGGCAAAGCAAGAAAATTCCAAAACCAATCCAAGAAATGAGTATATGTAGAACCTAGAAATCAACATCACAATTGGTGGTCTCAAAGAAAGTGAAGGTTGTGTTAGAACTCAAGGGAACTTTGAGGTCACATTTGACCTTGGGCTTAATGGTTCGGGTAATGGAGTCTCCGAGCCTGAACCTAATCCTGAAATAGAGCTTCACATGAATGTCATAAACCCCAACACTCTTGTCTTTGTTGAAATCTGAGACCTGATCATTGTCGAGCAGAAGCAGTTGTTGCCCTGAGAAAACGCCGCTCATTGTGTCTGTGCTCTTCTTGTACTGTCGGAAGGAGTTCATGTTCGTGATGACGTCAGAACTGGCGAACCTTGATCCCTCGTAGAATGCCAATGCCTCCACTTTGTCATAGTATATGCTCAACTTTTTGTTGGGGTTGCGAACGGTGAAGTTGAGCACCATGTTATAGCGTAGGTTGTTGTTGTTGTTGTTGGTGTAGTCAAATTGGGTTAGTTGGGCTTCAGTGACAGAGAACTTGAAAGCGCGGGGTTGAACCACGAGAAAGAATATGAGGATTACAAGGCCAACAAGGACAACAAATGCAATGAGAAGCTTCCAGAAGATGCCCAAGAGGCAGCAACAACAGCTTCTGCCGTGGTGGTGGTGGTGGTGGCCGTGGCGGTGTTGCTCCGCCGGTGGTGGAATGGCGGGACCGTAGTATGCACCGTTCAAGTGGGTTTGCTTATCGGCCATGCCTGCAAATGAGTGAAAATATCGAACAGAGGAGAATAGAGATGAAGAGAAGTTATTGCGAAAATAATGAATTGTGAGAGAAGGGAGAAGGGAGTGGTGGGTATATATAAGATAGAAAATGCATTGAAGATTTCATGGCAACGACGCGGTTGTGTGAAGGTGTCTGCGTGTTGTACAATTTTCACACGTGAAAGGAATTTGATTAACAGCGGATTCTTTTGACCGATGCAAAGTTCGATGTGCGTAGATGGTAAACCCGAAACAGCCACCAACTTCTGATGATGCTTATCCAAAACTATTACTCGTTTTATATGTGCATGGGTCCATAAAAGAAATCTAAAAAAGAGTTGAAATCGAATAAATTTTATAATAGGCTTATAAATGCATAACTATATTAAAATAAAGGATTTTATAAGAGTTATGTTATAGGAAAAGTGATTTGTCATGTTATAGAGATTCGTTTTGCGTGTCGGAGTTTTTTTTTTTTTTCGTTTCAAAAATTGCGGGTCCCACAAAATGTTGTATGTGTAATAAAGTTATTGTGGTCATGTTAAATGATAGATGCAAAATTCTAAAATAAAAGGTTAATAGTTTCTCATATTAATTACATGGGGAATTGATTCTCTCACCTACGTTAAAATTTTACATAATTTGATGATGTGGAAATTTTGTGTCTATTTTTTTCTTCATTAATAATAATTGGACCATACATATTTAATACATGTGAAGAGAGAAATAGACACAAAAATTTCACATAATCAAGTAATATGAAATTTTAACACGAGAGAATTAACTCCATGTTACAGAAGATTTTTCTCATGCAGGGGAACCCACCAAGTTTTAAAAAAAAAAAATTAATAAGCGATACAAAATTTCAATGAGTATGTAGGAGAAAACTCTTTTCTCACGTGACTTGAAAAAATATTAACCTTAAAATAAAAGTAACTAGAAGTCAAAATAATTAATTACTGAATGTGAAGTTAAAATAATAAAGGGATTTGCATTTGTCATTTAATATGACACAACAAATTTTCCTATACACATAATATTTTGTAGGGCTCACACTTTTTGAAGAAAAAAGAAAAAAGAAAAAAAAACTACGGCACGCAACACGAAATCTCTATAACATTAGACAATCACTTTTCCTTCAACATAGCTCTTATAAAATCCAATAATAAAAACATTTATATATTAGTGTTTTCAAAAAAAAAAAATGTTACATCAGTGACAAAAGTTAAATAAATATTAATTCGCTACATATACTTTCTTTTTTTAATATTGAGGAGGCCGAAGGTGAGGGCCCACGCCCACCCCGTTAGCCGTCTCAAATTTGGGTATATATTTCTATTTATGTAATTATATTACTAATTGAAATTTATTCAAAAAATTTAAAACAATACTTTCATGTACATAAACTATTAATAATTCTTAGTGGACTGTTGTTGAATGAACTTTTAATCACCGTATATGTGATTTGAACCTTTCAAAATTGTTACAAACTATTAGCATTTTTTAATACATTGAATTAAGGTATTTATTTATAAAAGTAGGATAATTTTTAATATACTCTCATTTTTTATTAATCAATTGACTTCTTCCGTATTAAGTATTTTTAAAAATCTTTTTAAACTTTTTCATACAATATTATCACTTTAACTATTAGCATTACTCTTTTTAAAGTATTTTCAAACTATATATATAACCACTTATCTCATTAAAAATTTTAAAGTTTTAACTAATATAATAAAGGGAATAACATCTGTCATTTTAAAGGATACAAGTTTATATCATTTTAGATCATAACGGTTGATTTTCGTCCATCAATAGTTATAATTTATTGGATCAAAATTAAATTAATTAATAATAAATTTGGCCCATTAAGTTTGACCCAATAGATTATAACCGTTGATGGACGGAAATCAACGATTACGATCTAAAATGATATAAGTTTATATCCTTTAAAAGGATAGATGTTTTTCCCTATAATAAAATATTTGAAATTACAAGTTTATTCTTATTTTTTACATTTAAATTATTTGAAATTAATTATGTATAGAGTTGTTATAATTTTTTCTCGTACATATTTATTTTAACTTATACTTTTTAATTTTATATAAATTTTAAAAATGATCATGCAATGCATTAAACATTCGCTGGCCTCTCATATAATTATGCTTTAATTAGTGCGATAGTTTTTTTATATTTCAAAATTTATATGACAACTTAAGTTTATGATTTTGTAGCCTAAAATTGAACTCGATTATTCTAACAAATGAGGAAAGTCTAAGTGACTGATATTGATGGCCAGGACAAATCACTCCTTAATTAAGTTTTTTCTTCCCTGATTGAACGTCCAAGAACCCAAACCCATTTGAGAGACCGAAGAAGCCTAGCAGGGACCTTTTGGTTTGAAAATATTTTACAATCATTTTCACTGGATTTATAGCTTCTTAATATGAAATAGTAAAGCAGTACTTTCAATTCAAAACTACTTAGTACTCATAGCTTTAATGCTTAGAAAAATAGTAATGCAGATATTTTTCACTGAACTTGTTAGTTTATTTAATTTCATATTTACTTTTTGATAAGAATAGTGAAAAAAATTAATTGTTAGTTTTCTGACACATTTGCTTATGTTTATAATATCTTAAATATATTGAAAAAGAAATTATTTTAAATTTTAGCACAAATTTAATTATAGAAGAATTTAATAATATGAAAAAAAAATATAAAGTAAGAGTTAAATGAACTGATCTTGATTTTATATTCGTACTAGGATTAGCATCACTTAAGGAATTTTTTCTTTATTTTCTTTAGTTTCCTCTTTTTGTTATTTTTTTTGGATTTTTTAGAATATAGGCCCATAACGAGAAAGAAAAAAAGACTGTTTGATAAGACCTGTTTTGTAAAATAAAATAAAATTAAAATTGTAACTATTTTTTTATTTTTAGAATCAAATTTAGAGAACATATTTGAGTTGTTTTTGTTTTTTATTTTGTGTTTTGACTTTTAACTTTAAAAAAAAATAGAAAACACATATTTCATTTGCTATTTTACATAATAGTTTTCAAAACAAAAACAAAAATCAGAATATAATCAAATAGACCCTAAGGGGCCGTTTGATACGAGGCATTTTTTAGGATTATCGAGAAACTGAGAGTGGTAATCATATTTTTCACGTTTGGTACTAGTTTTTTAAAATTATTTCGGGAATCTGATTTTTCCGGAATTTTATTTTTTGTGTACTTTTTTTTAAAAATACCATCCAGGAATAACATCCAAAGGATGGTATTCTAGGATTTATATGGCAAAGAAAAATTTAATACAACTAAACATAGCATTAAGAAAATTAACTCAATATTTCCAGGAATATTTTAGTCTACCAAATACCTTTTTGGTAACATTATCAAAAAATTCATCTTCCCATCATATTCTTAAAAATCGTAATTTCGGAATAAAAAAAAAATTCTCATCTATCAAACACCTCCTAAATCTTTCCTTGAGTGTCATCTTGCCGCTGAACATTCTTCTCTTGGCTGAATTAGAGGAACCTTGTGATAGACTTTCACCTCCTATCATCTTTTCTCTTTTGTAGTAGTATAGTATAGAGCTTTACCTCTTCTTTGTACCAAAAAAATAAATAAAGAAAAAAATTTCAAATACTCCATGCACTTTATTCTTTTATCACTTATTTAGTATTTTGTAAATTCAAAAAATGTTTAATATTTTTTTAAGTAATTAAAATGATTTGAAAAAAAAACAATACTTAACATTTGTCTTTACAAAACACCATAACTTTGTTTCAATTTTGAATAATACGTTATTTTGTTGAACAAATATTACATTATCTTCGTTGTTAGGTATAACAATCTTAATTATCTTTTGAGACGAGTCGGCCCCTCGATATCATCACAAGCATTAATTTTTTGATCTTATTATAAAAGTCGGGGTTTAATCACAATTAAAATTTCTTATCTCTCTCCAAAAACATATGTGGTGGGAATCGTCAACTCAGTCTTTGTTGTCAATTGAGCTATAGTTATTAGGGTTGGCAAAACAGGCCAACCCGACCAGACCCGCATTCAGCCCGAAAAAAACGAGTCGGGTTAGGGTTGGCTCGAAAAAAAAATAAGCCAGAAAACCCAACCCAACTCAACCCGAGTCGGGTTAGGGTTGGCTCGCGGGTTGGCTCAAAAAATATAGCTCGTGGGTTGATTTGAAAAAATAGCTCGCGAGTTGGCTCGAAAATTGGCTCGCGGGTTGGCTCGTTTTCAGCCTATTTAAATGACCATGTAGTATTAATGCACCAGCTATGTGGCTTCCATTAGCTTAAACAAAGGGTTACAAAATGATAAATAAAAGCAAAATATTTTAGTTTCAAATTTTCTTCACAACAAATTTGCATCAACATCCAAAAACAATCAGAATCACTTGCTACCAAATGAGTAAGATATTTGAACCAAACATAGCCAGCACATCATAACAATATAAAAATGGCAGGATGTAAGAAGATTAGAAATTTAGGTTTAGAGAAGGAAGAAAAATGATGACAACATGTGTGAGTTATGTCCATTTTTGTATATTGTATATTGTTTTTTTTTATCAAAAAATAAAATAAAAAATAAAAATAAAAAACTCAACTCGCGAGCTGACTCATTTGACCCGCGAGTTGGCTCGTTTTTTCACGGGTTGAAACGAGCCGGGTTGCTTGGGTTGACAGCTCATTTTTGTCAACTCAACCCGACTCATTTTTTACGGGTTACGAACCAACCCGAACCCGATGGGTTGGCTCGTTTTTGCCGAGCCTAATAGTTATTGTGTCAGCTTATCTTTTCTATAAGATGGTTGCACGAGGAGTTATACATATTAAGCTTTAAAAAAAAAATCATTTATAAGTTGAGTTGGTTTAGTTAAGTTGAATTTTCACAGCATAAATTACATGCTAAATTAGTTTTTTTCTTTCATATAATACAAACTAATTTGAAAATTAATTCGAATATATTTTTTCATACCAAAAAATAAAAAAATCCACAAAATAAAACACCAAATCTCGTCACGAGGTTGGGAAAAAAAACAAAAACCCTGAGATGGCTGTTCGTTTCGTTCCCCAAGAAGTTTTCGGTGGTGTCTCTTTCTTCTCACACTGTACTCGAAAGAGTTTTGGAATATGAATTGGATTTTGAAGCATCGACTCGGCGCACCGTAAGAGCTGGGACAGAATCACCTTCCTCTAAATCCATGACTTGTTTTACTCTCTTCCGTTCTTTCCAATCTATCAAATTCAATCCATCTCTCTCTGCCCCTCTTAATTCTTCTTGTTCCTTTGGAATTCGACACAAACCCAACCAAACAAACTTCAAATTCAGGAAAACACAAAGGTGCAGGGCTGTGTTTTCCGACGATGCCCCCTTTGCTGCGGCAATCGGCGCTTGCATGCTCACTTCTTTGGTTTTTCCAGTCTCAGTTCCACCAGAAAACGAGGATGCTGAATCCGCCGTTAACTCAACCGATGCAAGATTCGCTGTCATGGGAATTGTTAGTTTCATCCCTTATTTCAATTGGCTGGTAAGTGGTAACGCTATCTCTACCTTTACCTTCCATTTCATGTTATATTTTGCTTTGGTGTCACTCCATTTTCTTCTAAATTGATAGAGTTGGGTTTTCGCGTGGCTTGATACTGGGAAACGACGTTATGCTGTGTATTCACTTGTATATTTGGCTCCTTATCTCAGGTTCTTTTTTTCATTTCTCAAACATGGATATCCCTATTCCTTAAATGTTTGTTTTCATTACGCTAGACTTTATCTCTGCCTTTTATTCTTCACAATTGCAATCTTAATGCTTCACAATAATTTTGCTTTTGCCAAAGCCATTCAATTTTTGTTTGGATGTCGTCAGAACATTGATCATGCCTTTTTAAGACATAACCCTACATTTTTAGCTGAAAATATGGAGTTTAATTGATCAAACCTTTGAAGTATGAATTGCAACTACCACATTGTGTGTATTATAGAAGCCATACGCGAGTTTTTGATTATTAGAACATTGATTTGACGAAATTCTTGTTATATAGCTCGAGTCTTTGTGTCTTTTATTTGATGCATGACCGAAGAATAAGAAGTATCTTGCATTCCCCCACAATAGCATTTGATGGCATTTGAATTATAATGTTTTGTAACTCCTATGTAAGGTGTGACTTGTGCTTGAGAATGATATGATTTATTGATTCATCAGGTCAAATCTATCAATCTCGCCTGAAGAGAGCTGGCTGCCTATTGCCAGCATTCTGTTCTGCATCGTTCACATTCAGGTTCGAGCATATCACATTGTTTTTACAGTTAGATTTCCCATGCTATGCCCATTTACAAGTTTTGGTGTTTGCTATTTTTTGAACCTCGACAGAAAGAAGCTAAAATTTTCCTAGAGCTTAATGGTCTGACTTGAAAATATCAAGTGGCACTGATAGAATACTTTACTTTGCAGCTGGAAGCAAGCATCAGAAATGGAGATATTCAGGGTTTTCAAGTATTCAGGAACGTGACAGATCGGTTATCAAGTACCACGAAGAAAGGCCGTTTGAATCAGCATCAAGAAATGTCCAAGGAGGTGCTTTTTGCTGTGTTAACAGACATCAGTAGCTTCTTGTAAATAAGTTGTGTATTTTCTCTCTAACGTGGTTTTCAATTGTTGTAAATTGTGATTAGGAAAGCAAGAAAGATAATAAGAACCTGCCAACTGCCCAAGAACAATCAAGAGATATTGGGGGTTGGGATGATTCTGAAAGGCCTTCACAATACCGTCAACGCTTGAATGAAGACATAGATGATGATAGTAAAGAGAGAAGAAAGCACTAAACCGGAGATGCATGCATTTGCCGATCATCAACTAAACTTCACACAAGTTTCATGCCCGATGCTGGTACTGTTAAGCCGTTTGGTTAGCTTTGGCACGTTTTAATGAGACTGTAGCATTATCTTAATGTTGCTATGTTAACATCATGGATTCATTTTTTTTTTCTTTTTTTTTTTCCGGTTAACAAATTCTTTTAACTCTTGGTGTTAAGCTCATATTTACTAGACAATATTAAAGATGCCATTTTCATTTGCGATTGTATAAACAGTTCCACTCAGTGCCAGGGTAACAGTTCCATATAATGTGGCGAATACTGAAACTATCTCAAAGATTACTTAAGACATTATAGGCTTTGGACGCGTCTTGTGTAATACTACTATTCAGGTACTCTAATGTTAAGGAATGCATAAGCGAAAAAACAATCAATGTCTGGGGATTCGGCTACCTTATCCGCTGTAAACGTTGTATCGTATATCATATACGGCGGCAGTGTGAGAAAGCAACGACTAGAATGATATGAAAGGTAACCAGTTTTGACTGTAAAAACTGATCTGCGTAAAAAAAATTGCAGTTTATTTACAATTTGGATTTTATTCAGAGTTTTATTGAGATATTTTTAACTAGACATGCAACTTTTTAAAAAAAATATTAAAAGCGATTTACACAACTTTTTTACATATTAATATTAAACAGAGTATTCATATTAAACTGTCCTTACCTGGGAATTTATCCAATATCTAGAGGAGTAAATAGTGTGCTATTTACGTATTTGGGTATGTATACGTACCATTTTGCATTGGGCTAGGCAGGCGGACGTGCAGTACACCGCGGTACTTGCTTATAGACAGCCTCAATATCTCTCTTTAATTCGTAATTCTTGCACAATTATTTTCCAGTACCTAGTGTGATAATTCATATTGACATGCTACAAATTTGACATATATATAAATACATTTAGCATGAACATTATAAAAATTTAAAATTAGTTTAAAACATTAAACACGAACATGACTTACTTATTTTGCGAGTTGATATATGTAACCTCAAAATATGTCGTTGGGTAAACATGACACGATATAAATAATTTATTAACTTCAAAGTGTATTACTTATTATGCGGGTTAATATTACACAACGCGAATAACTTGTTTATAGCACGACACAAATAACCTGTAAGAAGATTAGAGCGGATCAATTTCAGCTTCACGAGCTGATACGTGACACAACACTAATTTTTTCGTATTAGTTTTTGCTAACATGAATACGACATAAATTTAAAAATGGGTACACCCGAAGACAAAAAATTTGTTGTGTCCGTCAGCCAGTTATATTGGAAATTGTGACCCCTACTTGTATTATCTCATATATTTTACTTGTCATAATTATTCTATATTTTGTTGAATTCATTAATCCATTTTGTAAAACCCTAAAAATAATAAGAATAAGAATATACATCAATCACAAAATTATTATAAACAACACTCTAAAATATATAATTCAATCACAAAATGAATTTATTTTTGAAAATATTTTTGAAGATGTTAGTGTCTTTTTATAAAATTATTTTGACTCAATCATAATTATAGATATTCTTATCAAATTTATTTTACAATTTAAAATAAAATTATATTCCGCTAATAATATCTAATAATAATTTATTTATTTTCACTCAAAATAATTTTACAGTTATACTTAGTAATATTATTAAATTCATATCAAAGTAATAAATATATATATATATATATATATATATATAAAATAGGTTTAAAATTAGATAAAAAATTGTTTCACCTCAAGTAAGATCTCTATCGAATGTGTTATTTTATATGTATTTATAAAAATATTAGTGTAATTTATGCTAACATTATTAGAATAAATAAAATTAAAACATATTATCAATTAAACGTTCAAAAATTTAAATTAAATTCAATAAATACTATGTAAATATTTGTGTTATAAAAAATTACAAGAATAATATTAAAAAACAATATAAATCATAAATAAGTAAAAGAAAAGTACTAAAAAGAAATTTTATTAATGTATATTGTTATTTTTCCCGATTTAAGATATAATGTAAAAAGGTATGTATTTTTTTTCTAATTTTTTAAAAGTTATTGAATTGTGAGTGCTATTTGTTAAAGAAATTTAGAAAAGTTAATGTATAAAAATTGAAAACAAAATGAAAGGTTAAATCAAGAAAAATCCAGAAAGATTTAAAATTTCACTGCTGCTGTGACCCTGATGTTGATGTTCCAGTTTCTGCTGGTGCACACCCAGTCCGTGAAGAAGACCCAGGCTGCATAGAATGCTGATAGGGATGATTTGCAGCTGGTGGCCGTGATGGAGCCATTGCAGCATTGTATGGTGGAGGGTACTATTAATAAGGGGAAAGTGGTGTCATATAACCATATGGAGGGTAATACTGGTGATGATATTGGCCAGGTGGAGGAGGCATCATTGGATGGGGCATTTGCTGCTTCTCCAAGCTGGGTTTGTTCTCCCCTGACCCAGAAGGCCCACCAGGAGGACCATCTTGAGATGGGACAAGTGCACCCATTCTTTGAGGATCCATTGATGGGTAATAGCTTCTTTCCTGCTGAGGAGGAGGAAGTGGATTATTGTAGTAAAGCATTCCTTGGGTTTGATCCTGGTTCTGCTGCTGTGATATAACTGCTCGAGGCAACAATCCACTATGAGCCACAGATGCCTGCCGCGTTGCTTGATCAGAGACATTAATAACCAGTTTGTTGGAAAGTTCTTCTGCTGCCTTTTCTGCACCTTCTCTGGTAGTATAGGTTACAAAAGCACAAGCTCGTTGGAGAACCATTTTGATCGATTCAATTTCTCCATGGGCATAGAAGTGATCTTATAGAGTAGGATAAGGATAAGGATTGTTGTTGTTGTTGTTGTTTGATGACCCAAGGAAGTAGGATAAGGATTGATTGTTGTTGTTTGAAACAAAACCCCAACAAGCATGCCTACTTCTCATCATAGTTATAGAGTAGGTCATCACACAGAGGAACCACAAAAGAAACAAGTGAATGCCTGATAAATCAATACCTATCTCCATCACAAAAATGGAAAATGCTTGACTTGCTGCGCAGTGCTAATGACAACACATGGCAAAACTAAATTGGAAGAAAAGAAGTAATTAAAAGAGAGCTCAGGTAAGAAAAACCCTAACCAAAAGAGGAAGTCATTTACAACCAGACATACCCATAATAACGATCTTTGATATTTTGTTGAGACAGCTCCCCAGTTACCGGCATCTCATGCCTATAAGGGCACTCAGCTCCTCTAGTACACTCACCCCTTATGTAGAAACTGCAAACATGTGCCCGGTTTCTTTCGTAATATGGTGTTGTCCTTTGAAGCTTCATGATAGTATCATTTGGGCGTGCTTTACCAAAAGAGGATCCATAATCTATACCAGCTCTAGCCTGCACAATGTAACAGCATTCTGATAAGAACTGGATCAGAGAAAAACAAGAATAATGAAGAAGAGTTTTTGGCCCAGAAAGAACACTTTCTGGAGTTTTCTGTATATTATGAAGCTGAACAATTACAATGCAACAGTAATGAAACTAACAACAGAGAAATCAAAGCAATTACAATGCGAAAGTTCCCCTATCATCTACAGTTACAGTAAAGGAAAACGATAAAGCTCAACATATTCGAGAGGTGTTGATTCTCTCCCAAGTCCCAATCCATTTCCACGCCTATGCTCACTCCACCTACACCCTTTTATTCCCTCTAACAGCCTTGCCACCTCAGCATTAACTCCTTCTCTCTTCTAACTAACAGAATCAGCCTTCTAGAATATTCAGACTAACAGCAGTGTCATGCTCCAATAATCCCCTACACCGCTTCCTAGCTTACACCTTCAAAGGCATCCTATCACATTCTTAGTGAAAAGATCATCCTGGAGTAATAATGACTAGTATGAACTGAGTGAAATTAGCACATAATTTTTTTTTTTTTTAAATTAAATTGATAAAAAAAAGAGCACTGCATAAATTTGTAAATTTAATAGCCAGTGCCAAATGAGAATGTGAAACATCAGATTTCCATGGTTGAGGAATTATGCATGTACGAAGGCAAAATAATTTCATCGCACTTCAATAAATTATGGCTCTTTGCAAGCAAAATGTAATGAAGTAGTTTTGGGTAATAAAAATAACTACAAAATATTACAAAACTGTGTAAGGAACAACAAATAAGAATTCGCTCGCAACTACTTATGGATTGAATTGAACTTAAACTCATTACTACTTAGAATTTTACCAAAAAAAGAAAATCAGGAAATGATCTCACAAGGTACAAGGTAGATAACATCATGTGGAAACTCTGCACAACTGGAATTTAAACAACAAAACAGGGCATAAACAATGTCAAAGTTGAACATATACACGGGTATAGTCAATCAGATAAAAGAAAACATCTGGGGGGTTTGTGCATTATGCAGATGAGTGCACACATTAAAAGTAAAATCAAGGATCAAGCCAAGTTATACTGAGATGGCAATATATAATCCAAAACACAGAGAAGGTTATTGAATTGATGGTGGGTAGTAAGAATATAACTCCGAGCCAAGAAAAAAGGAGTTAGAAAGTGGGGGAGGGGGTGCAGACTCATAATTTGTTGTAAAATATTATTCAAACAAAATTAGTTTTTTTCTTCAACATAACCCATATCAATAAACAGTTAGGGCAGAGAATTGAAACCAAGATAAAGAGACAAGTGCGGGTGTGGCTTGGCTATTTGGACAAACTTTTTATGACTAGCTTTAATGGTTTTGGTAGAAGCAAAGAAGCTAAATATTAATGGCAATGAGCAATCTACATGAAAGAAGCAAAAGACAGTGGTTTAATCACCAATGAAGCAGAAAATGTTGCAGCAGCAAGTGCTACTGTTCACACAATAAGAATAAAGAAAATGTTTTGAAGACATGGATGTATAACAGGATGATCCAATTGAAACCCTATACAACAGCAAATTGGTTATTGCAATTGCCAACAATCTAGTGCATGGCTATAAGACCAAGTGCATTACAATCAAGGATCACTTCATATACAAGGTGATAGCTGAGAGAAAAAGTAAAGCTCAAGTATTGCAGCACAGAAGAACATTGCTTATACTTTCACAAAGGTATTACCGAGACCAACTTTCGAAAGCATGCTATAAGAAGTCACGGGAACACGTGCTTAGGAGGAGTATTAAGATGTAAGCCTACTTTGAAGTCGATAACAATATGTAGTGTCCGACTGTCTGCAGTCTTCACTTTGTGGAAAAAATTTGTGGCC